CAGAAACTCGGCGGGTCACAAAGAATATTTCCAACAGGTTGCAGACCCTTATCAACAGCTGTCTTCGTTCTATACTGAAGATCAGATAGCCGGAAAGAATCACCGAGAAGAAACTATGGGAGCAAACAAAACAAGAACCAATCGCTCAACAAATATGCAGGAGAAAGTGGAGATGGATTGGACACTCGCTGAGGAGGCCGTTGGGTGACATCGCGCGTCAGGCCATAGCTCGAGTAGAACCCGAAAGGGAAGCGGCGAGTGGGTCGTCCAAGGGTGACATGGAGGAGATCGTACCAAGAGGAACTGAAACAGTATGGACTAATATGGATGCAGGTGAAAAGTACGGCAGAAGACAGAAACAAGTGGAGACGTGCAGTTGAAGCCCTATGTCCCACTAGAAACCCAAGGGAACAATAATAAATAATAATAATAATCGAATGCACAATTGATGAGATGAAGTCCATTCTTCCGTGTTTCTTTTTCTTTCTATCTCTAACGAACTTCGTTTTTCTGCTTAAATTTTGATCATTTTAGAAATAAATTACAGGAGAAAAGTTATAAAATGTGTTCATTTAAAACTTGTCTGAACTGGTTAAAGTTGAAAAGTACACATAACATGACACGTCTGTATACAATTGTGTTTTTTTATTATTAATATCTTTCTGTTGGCAGACCAACATTCTTTTTTTAATTACTTTTAAATTTCTTCAAAAGATAAAATAACTTTCTTTGTCCTGAACCTGTTTTATACAAAAACGATTGGAAAAATTCTAATGGAGATAAACAAAAAATTAAGTTTACTCATCTTCACACACTTATCCCTTATTTCGAATTTGAAGAAAGTACAAAAAAGAGGGTTTCAGAGGAGGCGCTGGTTTCTCGACAGCTGCATACAACCCGAAAACGTTTAACATTAGGCACAGAGAAGTTTTTGTCCACTTTTCACAGAGATAAACCCATGTCAGTCAAAAGAGGACTAGGGAAGTATTGAGGAAAATGCCTTATACACAGAAGGTTCCAATTAATTAAAAACATCTGAGAAAAAAGTTGTTTAATGGAGACTGTAGATGGATAAGACAATGGTAGATATCTGGTGAAGTGCTCAAAATAATATGATGCGTGTAACTCATACAATAAAAACAACAATAAAAAGTAAGCATTCAAGGAACTAAACCGAAAGCATTCTGTAATCAGATGAATGGAAGAACTGAGAGACTGATTTACCATCGAAAAGGAGGCCCGTGTTATATACATCTAATGTTTTCAAAGCCTTAGACTACTACTCTTATTTACAGTACTGCAATATCTGTATTCCCCTCATCCTTATGAAGGCTGAAACCTATTGGTTACTAACTGTTTTAACTTATCAATGAAATTAGTGGCTCTCAGGATCATATAAAAACCTGTCAAGTCTTTTCCGCTGTTGATACGAGACAGCGAAAGCTCTCCTGTCAACAGTCTGTCTGTCTGTCTGTTGTTCTGTCTGTCTTCTTCTTTCTTTCTTGCTTCACATGTCGTGGTCATTGTTGTTGCGAGTAGTGATTAGAATAGTAGTAGGTAAGATAGTTCTTTACCGTAAGAGACCTGTAAACGTCCAGGTTGTATTGATGGTCGTATCAGACTGATAACTGCTTGTTTCTGCGCAGCATAACTTGCATTTTAAACGTTGGGAGGTAACTCCTTCAGCGGTATCTTCAGATAATTTTAATTCCGTATTTAAATTTACGCGCATGTGGGCTACCTACACTGGGAGAGGAAAGGAAGAGTGTGTCTTAGATTCTCTGGAATTTTACAGAAAAATGCATTTTGTCTATCACTTTCGGAATCTCCTGTTTAGCTAACATCATGCTATCTGTGCAAGTATGTTTATAATCTCTCCTGTAAATAAACTTAATAAAATGAGACCTCGGTGAAATAAAATGAAAACACACTATTCTGCTTCAGCCGTTGTTTAGTTTTATTCAGATTACTTAATTAAATAGTCGTGGGATGTGAATTTATTACAGGATTGATTGCAAGCTGACAGCACTTACAGAACCGTCGGAAAACCGATGAGTGCTGGACAACTATTTCATTCTAGATTGGGACTCTTCACAGTACACACCCACAACAAGGTTTCGAACGTAGGACCTTCCGATTAAAAGGCAAGCTCATAGATTTTATTGGCCTGACTTAGTGGACCTCACCAGAACTCCAGGCAACTTCCTGCATAGAGCCAGTCTATAGTGAACATCAGATTAATTATTAGGTGTTGGTTCGCAGGGATTTTCCAATGGTTCTCTGACTGATGTCATCTAGTGATCAAATCTGAAATCAATCAAATTCTTGCAAGCAAACACTTGAATGTGAACTTAACCAACGTTTTTTTTTTGATAATATTTCCACTAAGAATTTATCAGCAGTTTTCTGCATAGTCCTCATAATTTCTACCACTGGCCAATGGAATTCAAATTCATAGTTTTTGTTGGAGGAAAGTGGAAGGTTTTGCGCCTGCTAGCACTCGTCAGAGGGGCATACCTGCAACCTTGAAGGAACTCATCTCTCTTGAGATTCCAACCCATGTCACCCAGAGCTGTAGTCAGAGACCTTATTACTGATCTATACGGGCTCGCGGTTGACCTCCTGTAGGACTGTATTGGATACTTTGATTTAACACTAATTAGCAAGTAACTAGTATCATGCTTCAAATCCTTCACTGCAGCACTAAATGACACGGCTTCAAATCTCAGAGGGGGAGTGAGTTTCTTCACGGTTGCATATACGCCTTTCTGACTGGTGAGTGCCTACAAGCACGAAACCTAGGTACAAAGCTTCCTACTGATCGCCTCTAACCATCTAACACTAGCAGTTAAAAGTGTCCCATGATGGCCAGTCACCTAGAAGTGCGGCCACATTAAACAACTTCACTGATAGAATTCAGTCTGCACCAAATAAACAATTAGACGCCTGATACTAGTTACTGACTACTTAGTCTTCAATCAAAGAATTTACCTCAGTCTTTAGAAAGAACATATATGTTTTTTGAAATAAAGCTCAAAATTAACTACAGTTCAAGATTAAAATAGATGTCCAATGCGTTCTAAACAGGAAGACAAGTGTTATACTGTTTTTTTCATGAATATAACATCATTTCTTGTTAGTACGTTTAGGTATTGAAGCAAACTGAACTATCAGAAACACCAGTGAACACTGCTTTAGGAACATGTATTTTTTCATTCAAAAAATCACTTTACGGACAATTTTTCGCAAATAGTAAGTAAATATGGTCAAAGAAGTACTACATATCATGATAAATCCAAATCAATACACATATGTCATCCTCATTACATATTTCTTCTAAAATTGAAGACTTTCCAGATCCTCCCTCTTTCTCTAACTGTTGTCACTTTATTATTACCGTAAATTAAAAATCCCTGGTTAAGTCTACCCAAGAAGTGTAGTAAGCGAGAATCCAGTGCATTCAGAGTAACAAAAGATAACAGAATAAGTAATATCAGTATATGGTCCAACATCTATTTCAAAAGGTCAAAGTTCACAATCATACCAGCCATATTAACTTTGACTACACTACTCTTCTCATCAAAATTCCATGATTTTCGGCTGGCTACACTTTCCCGCAATATCAAAACTGTAAATAAAACTGTCTTTTTTGCAACTTTTAGTGTTCATATTTCTCAGCCAATTGGTTGATAACAGCACACCACAGATCAGTAGTCTTGTCCCAAGCATAATATAGAGCTCAGTGCTAAAATACAAAACATAAATAACTCTCCGATCCTGACACAAATGCTGCTCAGTTATGCTTTTTATTATTAATCCTCTGATAAAAAGCTGTATCAGACGAAGGTATGGATCAGTAACTCCTCAAATAAAAAAACAGTTTACCTGATTGTCACAGTCACTTATCGAAAACACTGTAAAATACGCATCACATTGTAAGGTTTTTAAGGTGGTTAGCAGTGAGTTGTTTGTATATTCACACACAGGCACGTATGGTAAAGATTTGCCTGGTAATTGGATTTATCAGTATTTAATTGTAAGGATAAAGTTATATTATCAGGTGTTTGTTTGCAGGGATTTGATTGGTTACAGAATTGACCACAAGCTGACAACAGTTACAGAACCACTGGAAAACGAACAGAGAGTACTAGACAGCTGTTTCATACTAGTTCGAAACTCTTCATCGGCACTCATCCACCGGGGTCTGAATACAGGAACTTCCGGCCACAATACCAGATCGTAGACCATTCCTCCCCTGAGACTTGATCCAGTGGCTCATTAATTTTAACTTCTGACAGTTCACGATATTTATATTCAGCGCAACCATCAACCAGTGTCAGAGGTGACTAACTGTCCTCTCGCTTGATTTGGTGAACCCCACTTCTCGCTAGCGAGCATCCGATTAATTATCAAAGTGGGTTCGAACCACTGTGGGTGCTTAGTGATGAAGATTCCCAAACTAGGATCAAACAGCTGTCCAGTACTTCCAAGTTTTCCAGTGATTTTGTAATAGATGTTAACTCTTGATCAACTCTGTGAAGTTATGTGCCGCGAAATAGCGATCTCTCACAGAAATCCATGCACGTATCGGACTCGAGTCCAATAATATACATGTATATATATGTACGTCTATGAAAGGTAAGAAACACTAGTTTTATTTTTTAACATATACATATATATTTTCAAATATGAATAACTTTCTGCCAGTCATTACTGCGTGATGTTCACATCACTATTATTAAATCTAATGCCAGTACTATAACAAACTAAGTTGCAATATGACAAAAAAGAAACAACTGTAGAACTTTTACAGGATTACGTCATCGCGTTTTTAGATAAGATAAGAAGTCAGCGGGATGAATAAAACACGAGAAGCGAAAGATTCGGTGGAATTGATATAAACTAACATTTACACATATATATATATATATATATATATATATATATGGAAATAAAAAAAATGAATTATTGAAAACAAAAATACAGGAAGTAGTGACTGAGAGAAAGTCAGTGTAGACAGAGATTGCACGCACTAGAGAAAAGTGAACAAAGCGTAGCTGAATTATGTGTAGAAGAAGAAAATAAGAGTTTATATAGAAGAAACATCAGAAGAATGCAGTGGAAAAGACTATCATGAGTGGAAGGAATGGAAACGAAAGAAAAAGTGGACTGACTCAACTACATTACTGATATGGTAGTCAAGTTGTAAAAAAACTTCGATTGTTGTGATTTATGCTGTAAAACAAAGGTTACCCGTCTCGTCCAGAAAGACAGAATCATTATAACTCTCATATTTCAATAGATTCCCGCAATTTTCGCCTTCAAAATTGCTCTCTTCTGTAAGAATTGGAATGTTTTTCTTTTGACTACCTTCACCACCAGCATCAAAGTATCTGTTGAATTTATTCTCAAGAATGGTTTCTTTTAGCGTGCACTCTACTTGAATAATTTCAATCTGTTCATCATTAACTGAGCTCAACTGATAACTACTCTTTGTTTCACTAATATTATTGACTGAAACCGGAGTTTTGACTTTATTCGGGTGACTGAGAGGTTCTGATAGATGGGATTCAAATGATATTTGATGGTTAGTTATTTTTTCATTCGGCAAGTTAACCAACTGTTCGGATTTATCATTTAAAACAGGTTTGTTTAGTCCCGATGTATTTGTTGCCACTACTACAGGGTCATTTCGTCTGGAACTTGTGGGACTTTAAAAAAAAATTAAACGTAAATATAATAATTTAAGCTTTTAGTATAGACAACGCATTAAACACTAACTAAAATTATCTCAAGATCTCATGGCTAATGCAGAAATAATCAGCAAATTATATCATTGTCATTCTGGCAACAAGCAAGTCAGGGATTTGTTACCCAATAAATATACAGAAAGAAATGGAGGTGGATTGGATATATACTGAGGAGACATTCAAGAGGTGTCGCACACCAGGCCTTCGAGTGGAAGGTGGATGAGAAACAACGAGCTTCGCATCTGGGTGTAACAGGTACGAGGTCATGTGGCAACTGGAAATGAAACCTTATGGGCAGGTGTGGAGTCAACTGAAGCTGACATCAGAGAATCCACTGGAATGAAGACTGTATATAATTATGAGCAGTAAAGAGGTTCTTTGTTGAACCACTTTCTGTTTTATGTTTCTTTAAGTGCCAATTTAAAACTATGATGTTATGATCAATACCATGCTAGTTATTCTCATAACAAGTAACTTACTGCTGATATTCAATGTCTACTCTCAATTTTATTTGAAAATTTAGAGAAATGCGTTGATGGTTACTCACAACTGAGGACTTGTCAGTTCAGTGTGGAAATTTAGATTGATATAAGTATAAAACTTGGGCACTGTGGTAGAGTATAATTCCATAATGGATAAGATTTATCAAAATAAAATCTTATCCATTATGGAAATTTAGATCTCAGTCTGGTTTCATTCATGACTGCCTTTCTATTTGATAGCAGAAAGCTTAAAGAAACAGCTGTCTACTCCTACTGTGGTAGTGTGCCAATGGAATATTATTCTCACATATTCCCACAGTTCAATACTGCATTATCAACAGAATACAATATATCTATTTGAACATTCTATTTGGTGTTAGACACAGAATGTTATTCCCACAGTTCAATACTGGATACAATATACTTATTTGAACATTCTGTTTGTTGCTAGAGTTAGAATGTTATTGCCACAATTCAATACTACATTATCAACAGAATACAATATATCTATTTGAACATTCTATTTGGTGTTAGACACAGAATGTTATTCCCACAGATCAATACTGGATACAATATACTTATTTGAACATTCTGTTTGATGTTAGAAATAGAATACATTTCCCATGGTTATATACGGCATTAACAAAAGAATAGTATGTATATTTGAACATTCTATTTCATGTCGTTTGATGTAAAGCGAAATCATACGCTCAGTGATTGGTTAAAGAAGATAAACTGTATTGATATAAATAGCGGTTTGATTAATGGAAAATATACCTTGGCTTTCATGTCTTGCCTTCTTTGTTACACTACCACGAATGTCTACACATCAGCACGTCGTGTAAATGAAAATGAGGAAGCTTAAAGAAATCAATACTCGGATTATCCCATATAGCCATAAATAATTTTCAGTCATCTAATTACAGATCTTGTAAGTAGTCTTTAATGCGTATTCAAATTGTTTACTTAGACTAATGAAATTCTGTATTTCAGTATTCAGTAGTTTCAATATTTAGAATGATGGAAAGGTGCCAAGTGTGAAAATAAAACAGTGAAGTAATTTAATGGTACACTGCCTGGTACTTACTTGGTTAACCTCCGAATGTATTTAAACAAGGGGATTTTCCAAACATGATTAGTCCTCATAGATTTATCCTCTTCAGACCGAAAGCTTAAACTGGCAGTGTAATCTTCGCTATTCCCTGAAGTTGGTTTGCTTTCAGATACTTGTGAACAGTGATGCAATAGCATATTTCCTTCAGTTAAACTTTTTGGTTCATCTTTATTAGTCTTATGAATTTGTTTTCCATTGGGCTGTCTTTAATTGTATCAAAAAAAAAAGAATGAATAGAGAAAGTATTTTGGTTTATTTTAACACACAATTTAAAAATCTTGGAAAAATCAACTGCAGAAGAAGTTCATACTGTTGAAGATAACTCAGCAGAAGACAGTCGTGTTGTAGCATCCGATATAGCTGAATTAAACAAGAACATCACTCACTTTTTAACTATAAACACCTACACCTTTCTTTACCATTACTTAGTATTCCTCTTACTGTATGAAGCACGTGCATCACACAATAACAAGTTTTTCTGTAATTGTAAATTTCTAAACAAAATGACACCTTTTTCATTCCTAAGTGGCTTTTCAAAGATAACTTTAATCATTATTCCCTTGGGTTGCAAGTGAGACACAGGGATTCAATGGCATATCTCGTTCCATGTTCTTTGCAGTTATTTTTAACTGGCTCTACTATTGTCCGTTGGCTTTCGTTTCCTCCTCATACCCCATCGAATCCACCCATGCCCAACTCGTCGTTTCCCAATCAGGTTCCACTCAAAAGGCTTTGCACATGGTGTCACTCAACAGCCACCTTAGCGTTTACCCGGAGAAAGAGAGAAAAAAGGTTGGGCATGGGACTAGCAACCCTGCTCCCCAGATACCAATCTACTCACCAAAAAACCTGAAGATACAAAGAGTGTAAAAGTTCATTAGCTGTAGCTTATATTGCAGTAAACTTACATCTATAGAATATACATAGTGATAGGCATATTATTACCCTTAACTTGACAATTTCCATATTCTTAGCTCACATTTACCCCTTCACCAAACCTATATAATTTAAGAGTTACTGCTTTATTTATATTTATGCCATGAAATAAGTTGTCTGGAATGAAACAGGTAGGCAAATAATAATATTTTTAATTGGATCCCCTAAATCTTTACCATAATACACATAAATAATCGAAAGATAAGATAACAGTAAGAAATAGTAAAACAATATGGTTATAGAAGCAAATTTTCAAACAGATGTATTAGATAAAGGCTTAGAAAATAAATATTGACAGCATGTAGCACTAGAATGTAAGCGGGTAGATAAACTGAGTTTTAATGACAATCCTATAATGACAGAACGAAGGATTGGCCTAAAATAGCAAGAAGTGGACTGAAGTAAAACGTTAGCAACACAGCATTTCGGAACTCAGAAGCCAGATATATTTTAATACCAGTAGGTGATTATATTCATAAACAGGTTAAAAAACTTAAAACTAATCATCTCAAATGACAATCCGTAGAAATCTGTAAAGACTTACGAAAATAATTAAAATCTAGATAGTTAGAGGCAATCAGCAGGAAGCCTTGGTCCTAGGTTTCGTGCTATTTGGCAATCATCAGCAAGGCGTATCTATAACTTGACTGATAGAATTCAGTCTGCACCAATGATAGGACTACACACACACACACACACACATTACACTAGTTACTAACTAGTTTCCAATAAATAATTAAAATCTTCCATCCGTTTTTGGAGTTTTTGTGCACTCTGATTTAGATAACCTTATTTTAAAGCTTTCATCTTTCTACTGGACAGCATAACACAGAGAATAGAACTATTTCAGAAACACCCACCTCAGCTAAAGGTCTTCCTTATTTCTGAAATCATTATTTACCAACACAGCCTGATTTGAAATGAAGCTCAAATTATTAATCCGATCAAAAAGGCTCGATTGTAGTGACCTTAGAAAATAGTACACACAACGTCCGACCATCTGAATGCTTAAACAATGACACCAAAAGACCAATCAATTCACCATCCCAGCCAACTTGACTTTATTGGTATTACTTATTCATAACGGAAGTATGTGAGGAATTATATTGATGGAAGGTTTAAAATTTTTGAATAATACTGAGAAATACAGTCAGTGCTAATAATTTCCTGTTGTCTTAGTAATTTACATTGTCACTAAGTGGCAAATACGAATCAAATTCAGATGAAAAATGTTAAGCTGACCTACGGAAAAGTAAGGCAGCATGAAACAGTACACTTTATATGATCATCGCATAAACAATTTCAAACCCATGATCTACAACACCTACTTTCCATGTTGTTTTTTTTCCCTTCACGTTCCCCAGTGGAACATAGGGCTTCAAGCTAGAGGCTTGAAGTTTCTGTAGCAGTGTTTATTTTACAGGATGGGGTTGCTAACTTCATGCCCAACCTTTCCTCTTCACCAACATTATTTCTGGCTTAGTGAGGTAAAGGAGTGCGTCGGTGGCCGGGGATCGAACCCCGGACCATGTGCATGATCGGCGAGCATCCTAACCGCTATGCCACCGACACACTTCCATGCTGTTAGGTTGAACAAAATATAATTTAAATGTAGGTATATAACTGGCTGTTTTTCTTGACTGCAGCCAAAAATTTGAAATTGAAATGACCAGATGAAATGTTCTGATGGTCGCATGATTAAGAATAACTATTGACTGGTCACAGGCTGACTCATCAGAATAATTTAACGTCAGTTTACACTGAAATCTTGTTCTACATAATTCAACAGCTTGTTCATCCTAAATAAAACTTTAGATATTAGTCAAAATAACTGTGTCATATTGTGCAGTAGTGCTCAGCTGTTTAGCACTGTTAAGTAGGCAGAAATTAAGCCAATGCAACATAGCTTCACACTGTTACTCGTCAGAATGAAAAGATATTTTACAGTGTTCTTCAAGTTACCTCCTTTTTGAAACTTGGGAGAAGAATAATCACCTGTATAAAGCACAACCGTTAAATACTTTAGGCTCTGTAATCAAAATCAGTGATATCACTGTCTTTTCAAAGTACAGCTTTCTCTAATCGTCATTCATTACTTCTTGGTGTTAGTGCTCTGAAGTAGAAATATTGTCGTAATAAATTACTTAAAAGCCTGTAAACTAATATTTATCTGAATATTTACTACCAGTGTTCGTGGCCCGGAGAATAACACTTTCTTAAACTCGAAAAATGAAGTCAAATAATCATTAAATTATACAAAAGTGAAACATCACAAAATTCTTCACCTTTTATTTAATTCAATTCGGACATTCCCTTTGATTCATTGGAATGAAGTGCTTGGCCACAAGTTGACATCTAACTGACGAGTCCTAATTGGAACGAAATGTGCATCCTGAATTCCACTGCTCGTCACCGTCCACCAATTTACTTCAGCTTATATAATCAGACATCATCGAAGCATCTGTATATGGAGCTGATATGTCAACCTGAGACCTAGCACATCGGTCCAACCAATCAACAGGAAAATCTAAGTTGAATTAAATAGTTGATATGACCCGTTGCACAAGAGGTGGCTCTACTGGCCCGCGTGGAAAACGCTTTTGTGTTTGAAACTATGGGCACTAGGTTCAAGTCTCAGTGGAATACTATCACTCACTAGGGAATGCAGCTGTATGCAGAGACGAGTCCCAAATAGTACGAAAGAGCCATCCATCAATTTAATTCTTCATCTTATTACAGTTAGATTAGGTTTTTTTTATCTATTTGTTTAAATATCTTTCTTTGTTTATTTATGCTAATCATACAAATTTTTTTTCCTGATTTTTAACAAGTGAGAAATAAATATTACTGTTAAGATTCATTTTCTGAAGCCCTATCAAGGTGTGTAATCTTATCACCACGTCGAAAAGAAAATCGGTCTCTCTGACTTGTTGTTCCTAATTACAGGATTTACAGGGATAATGCCAAGGCATGGTGAAGTTTCATAATAAGAACTAGCCTGAATTTCACTTTAAAAAATTCCCTTTCAAAGGACAAATAACATAATACTCCAAAATGCTTTTCAATGAACAAATCCTTTCAGATCTTGGATAATCTAAAACAGGCAACAAATGTTAACAAAGCAGGATTTAATTAATTCATTAAGCTTCGGTGGAAATCTTCACCTGAATACTCTACATACAGTGATATGGGTGCCACTGAGAGATATATGACTAATAAGTAAATAAACTACATTGAATCAATCATGCGAAGTGATAGGTGTGAATGTTTTTTCAGGTCATGTTTAGATTGATAAGGAGAAAGGAGTATGAGAGATTAAATTTAAGGTAACAATGCATCACGATTCAATTTTTTTTCCTTCACGTTCCCAGTGGAACATAGGGCTTCAAGCTAGAGGCATGAAGTTTCTGTAGCAGTGTTTATTTTACAGGATGGAGTTGGTAGCCTGATACCCAACCTTTCCTCTTCACCAGCATTATTTCTGGCTTAGTGAGGTAAAGAGTGAGTCGGCCGGGGATCGAAACCCGGACCATGTGCATGGTCGGCGAGCATCCTAACCGCTGTGCTACTGACGCATGATTCAATTGCATCACTTAAATAAAGAATTATATATCAGAGAAAGAACTTGAATATAAGGAGAATTGAGAACTAAATAATACTGATGATAATAACAGCAATGGTGATAATGTTAAAACGAGTTAAGATAATGATGCGGATGAGAGATAGTTTTAAGTGAATGAAGAATAGTAATAACAAAGGATAGAGTAAAATATTATCAATAATAATGATAATAGTAAGTAAAACATATTGTAGTGGTGTGATGCAGACAATGTGTACCAATGGTATATTATTCTCATATATTCCCACAGTTCAATAATGCATTATCAGCAGAATACGATACATTTATTTGAATATTCTGTTTGATGCTAGAGACAGAATACTTTTCCCACAGTTATATACTGCAATAACAAAATAATACTATGTATATTTGAACATTCCATTTCATGTCGTTTAATGTAAACCAAAATCACAAGCTCAGTGATTGATTAACAAATATAAACTGTAGATATGTAAGCCTTGGCTTCCATGTCTTGCCTTCTGCTGTTACAATGGTAGATTCAGTGTGACGACCATTTCATTTTGTACACAGACACCTGATTTATAAATTCTAATTGCAGAAGCCTCTGCAGGTGCAAGCATCTTCCTGTTTGTTTGTCTGCTGACAGTAGTGAATGATTTGAAAGCGTCGATTTCATGTATGCAGATTACAAGATGCATTGTTATTGGGCTTTTTGGCACTTTGAATTCAGCTGTTCTCAACCACTTCGGCAAATGCTCCATCGTGCGAGTAGACAATCGCCTTTCTGTACGACCTACGCATTTGCTTCCACAAACACATTCAAAATCCAAGACAGGAAGTGAGACATATAACAGAAGCATTTAAACTTAATAATTACCCTGATAAGTTAATCGGGAAGTATGTAGGAAAGTGTAAAAATAAAATTGATGATAATAATAATGGTAGTGATATTGATAACAATAATAGTATTGATGACATGCATGTAAAACGTGTGCAGGATAATGACAACACCAACAATTAGGGATTTAAATCACCAGCAGTACTTCCATGCAAGGAAGGAACCCCGGAAAACTTAAGGAGAATTTTTAACAATGTAGGAATAAAAGTGGCAGGCATTCAAACCCACAAACCCAATTAGAAACAAACTTTGTCGGTTAAAGGATCCTGCCTGTGGAGTCTTTAAAACAATTCCCTATTGTAATGATTGCCAGATGAAATACATAGGTCAAAGTAGTAGAACAGGTGTAGTCAAACTGGCGGAGCACAAAAACCTAACAAAATATAGATTAGTTGATCCGAATAAGATAAGAAATCTAGAGAATACTTCAGCCATAGCACTACATGGAATCACACACAACCATACAGTAGGATGGATGGGATAAGATGACAGTTTTCTTAAATCTAATGTAACAGGGTGGAGGGAGAGATTGATAACGGAAGCTTTAATTATCGAATCAACTACAAATACATGTAATAGGAATCATTCAACACCTGTCCCAGATATCTGGAAAATTCTGCTACCCCTGCGACAAATAGGAAGGCATAAAGGAAACTATAAAACTCAAGTTTCGAAGTTGTGCGGTTACAATTAACATGATTATGAACAATGAATTTTGTTCGAAACCTCGTCATCCAGTAAATAATAATACTGTTTTACTGTGTGATACATCTAATAAACATAACATAACACTTACAACTGGAGACCATCTACATGCTCTCGACATCCTGTAAACGTTTCTTCTGACTGATTTAATTTCTTGTGAACTAAATCATTGTGTACCGACTGAATAGATTCTTTGTGACACGGTGGCTGTTAGAAATACAAAAGTATATGAAGGTAATCGAAAACATGTAAAATACTACCGAAGACGTTTCGAGCCCAATTTATTGCTCAAAATCATATCAAGGTACTCACAACAATTTCTAACTTCGTTTATATAATTCCATTATTTTTTATAGCTTGACTTGATTGGTAGTAGTATCTTCCATATTTCCGGTATGAGTGATGAGTCATTCCTATTGCACGTGTTGGGTGTAGACTCAATGAACAAGGATTCAGTAATCAAACTCTCTCTCTCGCCACCTACCTATGTTACTTCTTAGAATTTTAACCCTCTCCCAGCCTATTGTGTGGCTGTGTGTTAATGCATGCAGTGCACTGTAGTGCTGAGCTTTTTTCTAAATCATATCAATGTGATATGATTATGAGCAATAAATTGTGCTCGAAACGTCATCAGTAAATATTACTACTGTATAACACTGTGAGACTTTATCATCAAAATAAATTTTACCCATATTGGAATTATACTCTACCACAGTGCATAAGTTTTATTCTTATATATAAAATACTAATTAAGATGCAGTTCGGGAGATAGAAAGATTTGGTTCGGCAGAAGCATGGATAATAAGTTTAGGCGACATTGGCCCGCCTAGCAAGTATCATTGTTTGACGTCAGAGTTTTCCGACCACTAATATCAATCAGTAGGAATCCACCATCATTCTACATTCCTTGATTTCTTGATTATCAGTTATGATATCAAACATATCACACAATGTGATCTGAATATTTTGGGTTTATAAATAAAAATGCTATGAATCATCAACTGGAACTGTGCAATCTGCAAACGACAAATTTGATGAGTCAGTGCCCCAGATACAGAGCTTACATGGCTGAATTTTAGTTTCACAGATTATATATATATATATATATATATATATATATATATATATATATATAATACGTCTGCTGTCTTTTCTGATGGATGTTCACACACATACAGCTTATGAGTCCATTTACAATCCAGCTTATCTGTTAACTAAAAATCTAATATTTGTGTCATTTGTACATTGTGTATGCAGAATGCCTTTCTTGTCTTTTCGAAGACTATATAATATTGCTAGACAGTTGGAATTCATCTATACCAGGAAATTTTATGCGAAACAGATAAAATTCATTTTATCCGGCATGTTTTCATTATCAGTGAAGTCTTTCTCAGAAGAAAGTTGTTAAAAGAGAGTTTGTGGTCATAAAATAAGCTATTATCTTTTAGTTTTTTTTATGAAAGACTGTATATTTTCTTTAAGTTTTGCTACTAATATACCTAATGTCTTTTGAATTTCAGAAATACTTTTCATTGCTTTATCCTCATTTATTTTGCTTCTTTACGTTTGGAGTGGAACATATGGCTTCAGGCTTCAGCTTTGAAGCTTCGCTAGCAGTGTCGTTATGCTTTTACATGGTGGAGTTGATAGCCGGACACAAAACCTTCACTCTTTCTCCAGCTTACAACCGGTCAAGGGAATCGAACCCTGGATCATATGCCTGGTTGGCGAGCATTCTACCGCTGAACAACCAAGGCGTTATGTTTTAACTTGCTTACTGTTTAAAAATAAACTAAAAAGCCAATAACATTACTCGTGATGTGAATATCAAAAGAACTGATCGGTAATTTCATCAATCGGTTACAGATAACACGAATGCTGCATGATACGGGATTTCATCTGTGTAAAACTGAACTCCGTGTTGTTTATTCATTTATTATTTCACAAACCTGACAGAAAAATTTCCGAACAACTAGTCTACGTTGCCGCCATAAAAGTTTGACAACTGCCGAAAACGTTTGAGCATTCATATCTTATCTGACTTTGATCACATAGTCTGTAGCATATTCATGCACTGGAATTTAATGTGCTTAGAACTGTGCTCAGTAGATTTGAACATCAAAAGAATGGGTGAAAATAGCATATGTTATTCAGTTATGCAAGAATGGGAAAAATGGCATTATGCAAAGTGTTTATTTTTAGCAAATTTAACTTCGAGATGACTCGAAACAATGTACAGCTCAGTGTAGACGATTGAACAAAATAAGAGTATGCTTATTAGAACGCTTATTTTCAGGTAATGTTCATTAGATATTGAATTGATTTCAAGGTCGACTTCGTTACCGACCAGTACCGCTTAAAAAAAACTATTGAATGTCATGAAGCACTGCACAGATGGTTCATCTTTGTTTGGGATTGTCTAGATGCACACACCCATGACGCCTCATAACCCAAGGTTCGTCGATTTGATCGTTTGTGGTGTCAAGTGTGTGCAATACTCAAAGAATTGTAAACAAGTAAGAAACATCCCTCCAACAAACACTACGTGGTTTTCAGTGGTTCTCCAAATGACACAGATTCAAGACACTATAATACCACTTACATAAATATCTAAATAACTGTAATTTAACGCAACTTGTTTCAGTACTGTTTTCCTCTAACTCATAATAACTTCCAATTAACTACATGAAACTCCTGTACACCAGCAAGATTACTGGGTGTCAACCATGAATGATAAGCTTCCTTTTTTATTGCTTACAAAATACTAACACACGTGACCGTGATATTAAAACATTCCAAATAACTGCACATTACTTACTAGTAAATGTGTCGTAATAAAGTACAAAGACAATCGTTTTTAAAAAGACGGTAAACTATATCTCGCAAGTAATGATAACAGATTGTGCTGAATACCATTTCACTGCATGCCAATATATAAATCTTAAAAGTAATCTAATAAATATTGTCGTTTCTATCAAATTGTAGCTAGTTCCACTGATAATTGTTTGTGAGTAGTATATTGTGTAAATTCTTTTGCGAGAATCATGAATACATAAGAGACGGATGAAGTAGCGAACAAGAGAACCGACGAAAATCGTAAATCAGTATAGAAGGCATTAACATAGAGAGAAAGAAGGAGAACACGAATACTGCGTACAAGCTAGAATATCACTGTTAGGTTGCTATGCTTTTCCATCATTGTTTGTAACTTTGCTCACCAGAAATCTTTGTTCTTCTTTATAATATATTCTGAGCTACTCCTATACCGCGGATTTTTAATATGCTCATGTTTAGATGGAGGGGAACAAACAGACGGATAAATGTCATCACCATTTCATTAATCTAGTTACGGTGATAGATATATAGCACAGGACAGCATGATGTTTTTACATGAATTTAATACTACTGGTTTCGTTATTGTTCTGGAGGACGAATATACTTCCGGTTATCTTCCCTACTGTTTTCTAAACAGTTCTCAACACTTATTTCATCACATCTGACATCATTCAGATTAATTCACTTGCAGACGAAAAAAGCTGTAGAGTATTTATCGATATTCATATGAACTGTGATCAAGATTTGACGGAATAGTTCCAAAATAATTGGGCGCCGAGTGAGAAATAGACATCTGTAAAAAAATTATATTTGTAAAATCTCAGCGAAATTGAAATGAGTAATTCCGACGTTTCGTTCGGCAATTTGGTCCGAACTTCTTCAGGGAAATTAATCGAAATTAACATAACAGAAGAAGTTAGAACCAGATTACCAAACGAAATGTTGGAATTGATCATTTCAATTTTGCTGAAATTTTACAAATATATTTTTTTACAAATATTTATCGAAAGTTTTGTCCACGGTATCCACTGTTATCTTAACCCATACACAAACGAAATTTCGATAGAGAAAGAAAGACCAGATTTGCTTAATACTCTTAGGTATAACAAATTGCATCAATAAAGTATGTACTCTTTTTGATTTTTGATTACAGCTTGATTCCACATCGTATTTTTTGGTACAGGTATGAAATTTTCAGCATGTGATATCGGTAGCCCAAATTTTGCAGGCCGACCATAGACATCAGGTGTTCGTCGGCAGGAGATCGAACCCCGAACCATGTGCACGGTCGGCGAGAGTCCTAACCACTGTTCCACCGACGCAATTTTTAACAGCACTGTTCTGTTGATCACTCATCCAATAGGATAGAGTTTATAAAACCAGTAGAGCATATTCAGTAACACAAGTCCAAGACAGCCTACTTAAATTACTGGGCTGCTAGAATTCCTGTCTAACAAAACAGTGGTGAAACTCTTCTTCATTCCCGATTGTTTCATACAGGAAATTACGTAAAATGATCACCCACTCATATATTCAACTAGCCTTCAACAAAACGCTGTTCAATTCTTGAAGGAAATGAAGCAAAAAAATATGCAGAATTGGTTCTATCTCTCCACATGCAGCAACACTACGTCACATGACATACTTAAGATCATTACTTTACATGTAAATTCTGTATCAAGAGGAAATATTTTTGGAACTAAATACACTGAAAATTTCTGTTCTATGTGTTCATATTTCGTTTGAAATAAAACTTAATACCACTTTTGATGGAAAATGCGAGTCCTTATTTCAGTGAATGATGCGTATTTTCAACAAAATTCTGCCGCATATAATATAACATACTATAAAAATTCCATGGTGAAAATCTCTCTAATTTTGGTTTTAAAATCTGTTTAGTTGTCTCGAACACACTCAACCGAATTCATCTATGCTAAGACAATATTTTTAATCAGAGTAGTTAGTAAAATAATATCCAGTCAACTTAAACAACATATAAACGGAACCATTAAACTTTTTTTTAACGCAACAAAGTATACGTTACTTCGGATACTGATTTGATTTGGTTGTCGGCCGTAGAATAAATAAGTGACATCGGTTTCTGATTGTTATCTGACAAACGATGAGGATTAATTGTAAAAAAAAGTACATTACTGATTCGCCAGTTCTACAAAATAAGCTATCGAATAACAACCAAGTAATTTAACCATCTTCAAACAAGATGTGATGAGCTTTACAGCAAACATTATGTTTGATACATTGTGGAATTTACAGCATACAATACATACAATATTGAATCTAATTTTCTCTCTACATTTACTTTGTGTGTGTGTGCGTGTGAGGGGGTTGAGGGATAAATTAACAGGACATTTACCTTCATAATAATGTCAATAGGGAATATAAATGTGAAATTAAAACTAAAAGTCAATACAAATACTGATAACAATATATTAATGATTGAAGGAGTAAAAAAGGCACGTTTACTTACTGTCCCTCAATAAGTTTGTAGTTTCCTACCTAACACTTCTCTTATTACATAAAATGCAAGCCAATTAAGATATTATAGGGTTTTCAAACTTAGCCATCTGAGCTTAAAGTCTTTTATAAGTGCAACTGTAAAGATGTGTACTGACAGGGTACTCAGAATTCGACACGACGAAATCCATAGGTTTCTTACATGAGTTCAAGTTCTTGTACGCCTGAGTTTTAACGAGCTGGCCTAGCATCACTCCACTCACCCAATCCAACAGCTTATAATACCCTTTGCCGTGTAAGTGAATCTTTACTAAGTATCCCAGGAAAGATTAAGGGAGTGAAATAAAGAAGAATACGTAGAATACAAACTGTAAGTGTAGAGGCTGAGTGATACCAGATCCTCATAACTTCATTACGTAGAATGTTAGACAAAATATCTTTCTGGAAATTAAAATGACGTAGAAAGAACAAGAAAGATCAGAAGAAAGACATAATCCAAGGTATTGAACATTCGGCTAAGTTTCGACTTCAGTGCTTCCCAAGATACAAGAATTATGGGAACGAACCAATGAAATTAACAATCTGGCATTTAGCTTAAGACTATTCGAGAAGGATCACTGACTAAATTCTGATAAAAAGTTATCCACTTTGGAACAGATTGATTGCGAATTAACCGGAATAGAAATAGTCAGTTGATGACAGTCAACAACAATTATCACGAAACTCAAGTTCCAAAACGTTAACTACTATTAATAGTGCTATTACTCGTTCCTTGAGTTCCGTGTGAAATATAGGACTTCAGCAGCGCATTTCTGCCGTTCTCCCTCATCACTTTCAACTTGAAATTCCTTAAAAATGAGCTATTTATTGAAATAAGATCAAAATCTGGGCACTGTAGTATAATATAATTCCAAAATAGAAATGTCATTAGTAAATAAGTAGTAATTTATCACTACCTGTTTTATCAAATAAAACTATTCTTTAATGGAAATGAGTAGCTTTCAAGTGCTTTACTTAAATTACAGTCGTAAATAACTACTGATCTAAAAGATAAAAATGCCTAAATAATCTAGGTGTTCATCGAATATGAGCCTGATGGTCTCATTCTCATGATCTTAATAAAATTATTCTTTAAAGTGCATGTTCAGTCAACTCAGTGGTCAGACCATATTGATTTAGGATAAATGCTGATCACATTTATTGTTTTACAGTTAGTGATAGCATCTTTAATCGATTGCACTTGGTTCCAGCTCATGTTAAATACCTGTTTGATAGAGTCATCTGTAATTATCGTAGCTCCGTGTTATTTTACTCACTTATCTAGGAAGCATCGTTTCAACTACAGGTGGATGAAGATGTCAAATTCAGAATCGGAAAAGCGAGATACATCTTCATCAACCTGAAACCAGTTTGGAAATTTTCTGCTGTTACTCAGCATAAATAACAAGATTCAGATTTTCAACACCAAGGTCAAGTCGGTCCTTCTATACGGGTCAGAAACTTGGCCAGCGTGTCACGAAAAGGATTTCCAACAGGTTACTAGAAACTTTTATCAACAGCTGCCTTGACCGGCTCCATACTGAAGATCAAATGGGCAGCTGGCCAGAAAGAATAAGTAACTAGAAACTCTGTCTGGGAACAAACCAACCAAGAGCCGATCGCTCAACAAATATGTAGAGGAAAATGGTAATGGATCGGGCATACATTGAAGAGACCATCGCATGATGTTGCGCGACAGGCCCTCGACTGGAATCCAAATGGGAAGCGACGAGTGGGTCATCCGAGGATGACATGGAGGAGATAGTGTGGCGAGGAGGAGATGAGAGATTATGGGCAATCGTGAATTTGGCAGAAGATAGGATAAAGTGGATATGTATTGTTGAAGCCCTATGTTCCACGCGAAACTCAAGGAAATAATAATAATATTACGTTTATGAGGTAGTCTTCACTAAGTAAAAGGTCGTTAACATTAAATTTCATAGCAGTACAGACGTTCCATGCATATTCATGGGATTTTAACGGATTAACTGTTTACTGCAGAGTAAAATATACATTCAGTAGGATTTGGGTATATTTCATGCATCTTGATGTTCTCTTGATGTTTTCGTGAAGGATTTCTTAATGCTGATTCCACCAATTAGGATTTTATATATGTGCGTTTTCCCACTTTCCCTGTGTCTTCTGTGTAATGTAATAAATACCACAGAATGTTTGTATAAATTATCTTAACTACTAAATTTTAGGCAAATATTGCAAATATGTGGTGTGGTCGATGATGTTAGTTACCAGTTTGAAAGACTCACGTTATCTTAGTTTAAATGGGCATTTGCTGACGGGATATTTGGCTGCAGTATTCGTCAGTACCTTTACATTGGCCAATTCCTTTTCACCCAAAGGCTTTGAAGTTTTGCTGTCATTGATTCAATAAGTCCTGAATGGAATATAGGTCTTCATCAGCACATCCCCTTTCCATTTGGATCTTTGCTATCGCTTTCAGCTGACCATATGACTATGCACAAACTTATATTTCTTCTTCATATTATCTCCTTCACGCTCAACTAATAGCTTCTTATTCTGGTTCCAAACAATGGTAAGTGGTGTGAGATCACCCCACTGTCTCCCCAGCGTACGTTCAATCCACCTCCATTTCCTTCTTCATAGGTGTCGGTCACTAGATTCTTGGTTGGATTGTTACTAGAGTTCCCAATTACTTTTCCTCTCTGATCAGCCATCTGATATTCAGTATCGAAACAGTGGAGGCAGGTGTTGATGAAAGTCGGCAATAGCCAGTTGAAACTGGTGTTGGTGATACGTGTATTAAGTCTCACAACCAGCTAAAAGCACTAGGTTGGTTGACATAGGGATGATCTTCTATATTTAGAGAATTAACGTATTCTCAACTTCATAGAAGATTTGCACTTCCTAAACACTTCTGAATGTGTATAATTCAAACGAACTGAAGAACATGAATGTTTATATATAACGAACAGTTAAATGCCGGTTTTATTTAAAGCATCATTTACGGAAATGCATTTATTTCACCAGTGATAACTGGCTTATAAAGATTACTGAACATTTAAAATGTACTAAAAGCTGTTATTGAGCCCAAATATATCGGGATTCATAAATAAAATGTCTTCAGGTATTGGTTCGCAGGGATTTGATTGGTTACATGATTTCATCATATGCTGATATGGATTGGAGAACCATTGGAAATCTTGGGAGTGTTGGACAGCTGTTTTGTCAGCCCATTTTGGGACGCATCCACCACAAGGGTTTGAATCCAAGATCTTCGGGTTACAAAACGAACTTGTAGACCATTAAGACACTGGGACTCGATCCAATGGCCACCCCATGAATCCAACTTTTGCCGATTCATGATATGGAGTGACCACTAGCCAATGTCATCCGTGGTGAGTAATTGTCCTTACATCCAACCATCTGTACTCCACTGGTCACGATAAAACAGCTGTCTAGTACTCCTAGGATTTCTAATGGTTCTGTAACCGATGTTGATTCATGACGAAATCCTGTAATAAAATTTATGTTTAGCGTTTGAAGCCTACTTTTTTTTTCAGTAAATAAAAAAAGTGTGTTTCACAGATAGCGTTGTACTACGTGTTACAAATATGCAAATTAAGGGATGAAATTCCTATACAGAGACGTATTTATTAGTTCCAATTTTTTATAAGACGTATTGCTTCCAATCTACCTGATGACAAACGCCTACGTACATTCAATATACGCAACAGCTTGTATCAAAGCTCTACCTACCTAATGATTTATCTATCCATTAGAATGGGGAGTTCAATAATGTCTGGTTAATGGTAGCTAGTGGCAGGAATCCCATTGAGTATGCATGCAGATCCAGTTGATTATTCCCAAATAGGATTTACTGCCACCCACTATCATGCAAACAAAAGCACATTCGGCTAAAGTCATCATCGAAGCATATGTAATTGCAGCCGACGTGTCAACAGAAACTAGATATTTCATTAAACTCAATTGACAAGGAATTCAAAACAGTAATTTCGACAAATGACTATGTGTATAACTTATATTCCTTAAGACTTGCAATCAGGCAATCTGGAAAACTTTCAGTTGGCGCGACGTTTTGCCACAAAACCACCGAGGGTATCAGCCTCGAAGTGTAAGCAGAATTCAAAAAGTCGGTCAGTTAAGCAAAAGATTTAGTTCCTGCCGCTGGTGAATAATTACAAGTATTCCTAGTGCAGTTTTTTCTAATGTCATAAAACTCTGAGAATTCAACAGAGAAATACCATTAATATCTGACTTGGAAGTTTGCCATGAAATTAAGAACGCTGATCAGCAATATAGACTTTCAATGTTACCTGTCCTAGCAATGGTGGTGCGATTGTGTCAATAAAGCAGCTGAAATATACAGAATATAAAGAGTTCTACAAGATATCATTTTTATTCCTTTACGTTTTAAGTGGAACGTAAGGATTCAAGCTAGGGCTTTGAAGTTTTGGTAGCAGTGGCTTTATTTTTACGAGGCTGAGTTGTCAGCCTCACGTTCAACTGTCCCTCTTCACCTGCCTTACTACCAGCTTAGTGAAGTTTAGGAGTGTGTCGGTCGGGGATCGAACCCTGGACCACATGAGGAGTGGTTGTCAAGCATTCTACCGCTGAACCACCGACGCAACATGATATCGGCATTGTTACAAAACGAGCTTTTTGTAGCAACAATTAACAATGATATTGCATAAAATAATGTCAGAAACGGTAGTCAGTAGTGAGATTTTTGAACAAGTATAAAATACTGGGTCAGTAATTCCACATTACTGGATTCTGTCAAAGGCTCACAGTCAGCTGTTGGTCATGAGTTCAATTCTGAATGAGTTTCGATCACTTCAATATCATGTGGCGATTTTGTTGGCATATATTTTGAAAGCAAATTCACTGTTTGGCAATTAGTTAGCAATCTGCAGTATTCACAGTTTCAGGGGTAAAATTTTCGCTACAGTTTCCCCTTGAAACCAAATTATTCTGACCACACTACATGATCTGCTTGATACCGTTAGTGATAATAAAAAAATCAGGTATATTTGTATAAAACTATATACTACTAGCTGATTCAGAAACTAGTTAAAGAAAATTATAGTAAGACATTTCTTATATTATACTTCTGAACTCATAGATTACGTTGGAAAGATAAAAGTGAGTTTTCATAATTGTGCCTTCAGTCTATGTTATCATTCTATTTAGTAGTGTTTTTCTTACAGAAACAACCATTTTTATGTTTTATGTTATTCATTTGTTTATATATATATATATGCGCATGCTACATACACTTCTGTGTGCATATATCATTCCAACTGCTGCTGTAGAGCCAGGCACATTGGTCGTTCGACTCGTATCTTGTCTAAAACGGCTGAAGAATCCTATCTCGGCGCATGGTGGCAGAAAAATAGTAGTGGCTGTATAAGGAGTGCGACAGTTGAACACCTTGTCAACACTGGTCATTCTGCCTCAACAAATGCCTCCTTCAAAGTAATCTACAAAATGGAAAACAACCTGCCGAAGGCAATGCACTTTCCATAATGGAGCAATGCACTTTCACTTCGTTTGCATGTCTGAAGCTGTAGTCATTCAGATGAAGAAATCGGAGGTACGCATACAAAAAATCTTATTCAACTACCTCTACTATCACGGTAAAAACCTTGCTGATTTCTACCGACTCGATTTTTGTGTGCTTGTTTTTCTAACTCCTTATAACTCTCGTATATCTTTTGAGCTCTTCCGTAATTCCATATTTTCTTTCGTTTTTGTGTGCAACCTGGTCACAACTCATTAATTAAATTGCAAATTCACTTTAATACACTTATTCAACTACTCTTATGTACTGATTAATATTAACAACGATGTGAAAACACATCCCTTTGGCTAATATTCTCTTTCATGAAAAACACTATATACATATCTATCCCACAAAAGGGTGGAATGCATGTATAGTCTCCATTTAATTCCTTATTTACCAAAACGCCCTAATATCCGTCAGAACGAGAATGTTACGAACAAAATAGAATCCAAATGTTGTTAGCAAGAATCAAACAGAACTGAATTAAAAATAATTCGGATAAGTTCTGTAATTACGGCATCCTAGATCTCACCGCTAGTCACCATCCAACAAATTACTTTGAGTTAATCCTCAGACACCATCGAAGCATCCGGATTAGGAGCTGACGTGTCAGCAACGGCTGAACATTTTGGTCCAATCAATCAACGGGAAAGGAAAAATCGAATTAAAAACAAATAATGATAGGAACATATTCAATGTGTTTGTGAATCTTCATCAAATTGGATGGCTAGAACATATGTCGCGCACACCAGCTCGACACTATCTTTGACGACCAATGTTAGCTGAATTATGATTAGTCTGAAAAGCGGTAAGCAGGAGTCAGATAAAACGTGGCATTAATCCATGAAACCACTGACTGTTGGTGTGAGTGACATAAAGAGGCATATACTGCTTGGACAGGGTTCTTCTTATCGTAATATACTGTCACTGAAGATCTTCGGTGACATGACTAAAATTGTCCGCAGTGAAGCATATGTAGACACACTCTATATTACAATCTAGATTTCAAAAACCCTCACAAATCCTCTTCCCCGTACATCTTCATTATATTTATTTTATGTGTTTGTATAAGTTTACTGAAAGTGTGGCAAGTTTAATTCATGTAACCTTGTAAACATTCCTACACTGATTGGTCCCTCTTTTCGCTGATTTCCAGGAACTACTGCTTTCATTCAATAACTCTTTGGTGTCTGACAGTTTTTGATCTTTGTTTACACATTTCAAGATACATCTAAACTACTATATAACAATTCTATTTTGGTTAGAACTTTGGAAAAGAGTATTCTTTGTGGACTGATACCATTTGAAATACACATTTCTTTTACACTGAATTGACAAATACATTAGTGCACATAGGTGGTGATCCACGAAGTGTATTATTTTCAAAAGACCCAGCTTGGAATGGGATAAGCATTATATTTTTAAATTCACACTGTATAACAACCGCTTCAGTTCTTCAGCAGCACTGTGTAAGACCAAATTCTGAAATAAGAAATATATCAGTTACTTTTGAAACAAAAATCTTACTCTGCCAGTCCTAGATTCCAGTTGATATAAACAGCAACGGCAGAATGGCAAACTTTAACTCGTAGTCGTCAAATTTAGTGCTTCAAATTTGAAAAGATAACTGAGCTTTGTTAGTTGTATAGCTAAGCCTCTATACGACATTACCAGTGACCACGGACAAATTTGAAGACACTAGGTACTCAGAAGTTAAAGTATAACTACCGAAATAATTAAGTAGTTACTTTAAGTTATATACGATAATAATATTAATAGAGTTCTGTGCATAGTAACAGTCAACTTACTTTCAGCTTTCGATAAACACAAAGGATCCGAATGTCGTCGAGGAATACCACTTGATAATGATGGAATGTTACTTCTTGGTGAAGGATTACATGTCACTTTACTGTCAAAACTGATTCTGATATGCAAATTGTTAGTAAAAGTTGATAGCTAACCTGTCAAACTGTTTACTGCTTTGTTGTGATTGATTTTCGCCAAGACTGACTTGAAGTGATGAATTACGCACACCAGGTTGATTCTTCGAATAAGAAGACGTACTGCTATTTAGATTAATGTTAGTCAGTAATTCAGTTTCTTTTGTATCATGTTTCTCATTAGTTCTGAGTTTTGAGATCTTATTTATGCTTCTTCGTTGACCTACACAAGGTGGTACATTCAATAAACAGACTTTTTGTATTCTTTTTGACATTTCAGTTTCTTTGACTTCAACAGGCAAGCCTGATTGTTTTGATAATGATTTACACCTCTGATTGCTATAGTCTTCATATTTTTCCTCTTTGGAAACATGATTTTGAGATGTATTCCCCATATTGTGTCCCAAATTGTTATTTTTCTCTGTCAATTTATTTATTTTAACATCAACACTGTCGTCTTTGCTTGACATTCTTTTAACTTTCGACTTATCGTCTAATAACTTGGGTGGACTTCGTCGACTTATTCTCAGAGAACTAAGATTTTTTGGAAACTGGCAATCTTTTCGTTCACCTCTATAAAAAGAAGTACTGATAATTTTAGTGAAAGATACACAACAACATTTCAAACGATACTTTTTATTGGCGGAGATTTAATCTCACGAGTGTCTGCATCTGAAGTCATTTAAGAGATACAGAGTTTGCAAACAATCTTGTTTTGTTATTGGCCATATTCTACCAATCACATCAGTCATAATTATGAAACTTGACGTTCCACTAATAAACTTTCATTTAAACTTTACCGACTCACTCTTCTATTATCGTCCATCTGAGGATCACCTTATTAGAAAAAAGCATATTTGTGCGGACTATCCCAGTGGGACTAACGCAATCATTTTTAAAGGAATACAAACCTAGTTGGTGATGATTGAATGTACTTCGAAACGACCAGATCATAAATCTGGTGCTCTACTATTTGAGTAAGGAGACCTGACTTCTGGTTGCCACCATTGCCCAGGTATCATGCAGATGAATGATGCATTACTGTTTGTTTTTAATCACACAGTCACCCAAGCCAGGCTGCCATTCTCCTTTCAATCTTAATCATCCACAGTTAGAAGGAAATGAGCGTGTTATTAAGTGGTTGTGAGAATGAGATGGCCTTGGGCTGGCAAATCGTTACTGATGTAATGAGCGAGGGGTGAAGGTGGCGTATGTCAGATAGTAAAGTGACAGGGCAGTAACCTTGAGTCTACTAGTTCGAGTTCTTCTGCAGCCCCTAATTTTATTTCATCTTCAATCATCATCCTTGGTGTGATAGACTTCTATTAACAAGTAGAACGGTGAAAAAAACCTGATAATAATTCAGCATTACTTCTCGAAGTTTATTATTATCATGATTCTTATTGCTGGATAGTATAACTAATGACCTGCATTCTCATTTTCACTATCTAAGATAACATATTGAAATTTGAAGTTCACAATATTATTGAGGTCCTCCAAAATACCTTAGTGATTTATTTTTCTTTATATTCAGATAAAAGAAGGGTTGTGAGATATTAAAAGATGAAAATTTGATGCTGCTGTATTGTGATCTCAGCTAACTTGGAGGTTAGTTTTATCACGAACAATCAGTGCACTGAATAAGCTACATTTTAAGAAGATTTGTGCACGAAAAAATCTTTTTAAATTTGCCGTTTCCCGGTTAACTTAAAGCGTTAAAGTACAACATGACATTCACTTGCAATATTTATTACTACTGAAAAGATTTTGAAGGGAATATGTGTTATTTGATGACTGGTGCTTTGATAACCCTCTATAATAAACAACTTGTGAGTTCCTGAGAAGCCTAAGTCACCTTTCTTTGGTAGGTTCACAGGGTAGACTTCCTTCCATTTGGTGAGTAGCTTTTCTTCCTCAATCAGTTTCCATAGTAATGGCATAAGCATGTCCGTTGAGGTGTCTGAGTTCGTTCTCAATACCTCTGGAAGATTCCATCTGGTCCCGCCAACTTTTTGGCTTTCAGTATATTAATGGCCTCCAAGATTTCTGCTTATACCAGAGATTAGATGTTAACTGATAGTCATGTGTCTTCTGGTGGTATTTCTGAGCTAATATCAGGTGGTGATCAATTCGACAGTCCTAACATTTCATCTTTTTCACCTCATTGGTAGTTGGCTCTGCCTCATTATCTATCTTCATTTGCATTAACCTGTCCCTGAATAGAGACCTGGTTATTTCGTATAAATGTTGTTGTTAGATGGTTGGAGGCAATCTGTAGGAAGCCTTGCATCTACATTTTGTGATAGCTGACACTCACCAGTCAACAATGCATATCTGCATTGTTGAAGGAATTCATGTCCCAGTGTCATGTCATCCAGTGTGGTGCATTCGGAGAGGTTGCCACTGAGCTACTGAGGGCAGCGATTGACCTCCTGTATGACTATATCAGATTCTTTGATTGAACAATGGGTAGTAAGTAACTAGTGTCATGCGTCTTGTCTCTGAGAGTGCACCGTGATGCCAAGACACCTAACATGTTGGCCACATTTCAAACCTGATTGGCAGAATTCAGACTGCACCACATAAAGGTCTAGAAGTATGACAATAGTTAGTGTAGCTCTTACCTCCAGCCTGTTCTACCTCAGTAGCCAGTAAATCGTAAAAGCGTCTTTCATCTTCCTTAACTCTCTCTTCGCTCCAGTGTCCAGTGTTTTGTAAATTATATCCAGCTTATCCCTTCGTTGTTTATTTCTACACGAGTTCATCTTCAGCTTCATCATCTTTCTTCTCTCTATCAGTTTAGTGGTATCTATAGTCAGCCACTGTTTGTATTTCCTGTTAATCCAGCCCAAGAATTCTATGCAGGTTTCCCTCCAGATCGCTTTCAGAGAATTCTGGTGTTTTTCTGTGTAGGTTTCCATAGTCATGTTGATAAATGCATCTGACATTTTCCTGATGACTGCTGTGAAGACATTCTATGTTCCTTAGTTCTTCGAATTTTGAGTGCTGAACTTGAATCATACTTTATCTTCGGCTTTTTTTTTGAAGTCCTTCAACTGGATCCTGAAGGTTCTGTGAATTCCATATTGATCTGAGCTTTCCTCTGCGGCTTTTCTCAATCTTATACCCAACAGGATGCATCACCATTTTCCTGAGGCTGAGATGAAGTTTATTGAGTATTTCTTGTGCGTCCATCTAGTTAAACCCAGGTCACTTTGTGCATATCGTTATTTGTGTACAAACTGCCTTTATCCACTAAGTGGTTGGAGGTGAAGAAGTCTCTGGTCACCTTCATTACACTCAGCCCCAACTGACACACAACGAGTTTGCTTTCTCTCCTCTTTCCTCGTTTCAAGTCTTAGAACTGGCTAGTAAACTGGGAGATGTTTAATTAGACCTTAAGTGCACAATTTCACTCTTTTTCACAATTTAATAACTCACTTCTTAATCTGTATTTCATTTTCTTAGCTAATTATTTGGACGTATAAGACTACCAACTAACACATGACCATCCTTCTTCAAGTTTATCTCACCAGTTATTTGCGAAACAAGAGTTGCAAACTCTGTATTCAGAAAAATGTCATCCCTAAAATCTCAATAAAATCTTTGTTTTTCTATTTTTTTGTCTTTATCATATCAGTTTCCCGTCAAAACTAAGGATCTCTGATCCAAATGGTGGGTTTCACGAAACTCAGCTAAAAAATTATTCAGTTGCCATAATCTTTCTTTTCCAAAAATTAAAACAAACTTACTCCTCACCACGTTTTTCACTGAAAGCACGCCGCACATGAAACCATGCCTTTTTGCACTTGACATAGTGTGTATTTGATTTTCCCAGAGTTAACGGATTACATCTGTTCACCTTTATCGTATTATCAGTAGTTTCGTTTTTCATCGGTTCTATAATTATTGCTTGATTTGTTCCCCTTGTTTTATGTATAAATTCACTGAAGTGATTGGATAATTGTGAGTCTAATTTGGTTAACATTAAGTGTAATAGGGCTTCTGTACTTTTTAATCTACTTGTTATTAGAGAAACTGTTTGACTATACACATTTTCTTGTTCAAAGTTTCTTTCAACACTGATACTGCCTTCAATTTTGTTTATTTGACGAATAAATTGTTTAATTAAAAGCAAATAACGTGGAATTCGTTGTATAGGAGCTATTAAAAGTGTCGACAGTTCGGTCCCACCACACTCATTATTCTGTAGCCTCTAAAGAGAAATTACACTACAAAATGATTTTAGTATATATTTTTGAATTGATTGCATTAACTATAACAATATAAATCTGAGCCGTCACAAACTACACCATTCATTTTGGTCCTAAAAGTAACCGCTGTGCTTAAAAATTTGTAAACCTAGTTGGATATGAGTGAAACCTCCTAGTGAAGAAGAGGAGTGTGCTCCTAACTTGTCTGCTTAATAATTGAGTTAGTCTAAAGTGAACACAAGTGACAGATATTGAAATTGTTGAGTAAATTAGAAACCCCTTAAGAAATCATTACTCAAGATAAAGATATTAGTAGACTGATAATAAAAAAGAGAATGTCTTACAAACCATGGTTTATTTTGATTGGACAGTAGTAACTAGTGCGACGTGTCTAGTCCTTTCTTTGTTGCAGACTTAGTTCTATCAGTCAGGTTTGCAATGTGGTTTAATTTTATTAAAGTGCTCTCATCTCTTTCAGCGTATTAGTCAGCGATTTAACGTAGGTCATTCAGTGCACCAATGCAGTAAACGATCCATTGAAATTGAGGTGTAGAATTTACCGCAGATTTAAATGAAGAAGAGGATGACAACTCGATATATAAGGAGATTTAATCCTTGGAAAGGTAGGAAATTACCACAAAATTCATTTTTATATCAAACGTTAATCTGAAATTTAAACCTCCACTAGTTGGTCACGCTTCATTGAGGCCTGCCATCATCTCCATTTTTCTATTCAGTTTGTTGATTTGTTTCTGTATGAAGCTGTTTGGATATTCTGTTTCCATGAGGTAATCATGAGTATCTTCCAGATGTAACCATGAACTGATATCAGTCAGAGAACCACTGAAAACCACCAGGGAGTACTGGGCATCTGTTTTGTCCCAGTTTGGCACTCTTCAGCAGTACCCACCCACTGTGGTCTGAACGCAACTCTTCAGTTTCATGGCAGGTTCGTAGAACATCTAGCCACAGGTACCCGACTCAATGACCAGTGAACTCCCACTTCTACCAATACGTGATTTTAGCGCTGGCACCAGCCAATATCATCGGAGATTATTTGTCTTCACGCACACCCGGTGTATGTGTAATGACGTAGAGCTTCAAATACGGACGAAACAGCTATCTAGCACTGCCTGGTTTTCAATGGTCCTCCGTATGACCAGAGTGTGAGATCAAACTTGAAATAATTCAGATCCCTACAAACAGTTTCTTGAAAATCACTAACATATCGAAATTATATCATTGGCATAACTGTAATGGATATCCAACTCATCTCCCAATTGCCCATTTTCAAGTTAATAAGAAAGAAATCTGGTCGATTCTGGTCGAACAATGACTCCACTGCAATTCCATTTACCTATCGGTAATATCGACTGTTGAAGACAAGATATATATACATATATATATATATATATATATATATATATACATAGCTAGGCGTTTTACGAACACAGCAAGAAAGATAGTGTTCAGAAGAATATTTACCAAAGGAATTGCAGTGTATTCATGATTCTTTGATGGACATGGGAAATCAGAGTACTTTCATAAAAAACAACATATGAATAAACTAGATAGAAAACTAGACACGTTGACATTCCTGAAGAAACCATTATTTATCCAGTTACTATTAGATAGAGCAATTTATCAAGTGAAATTTTGTTCAAGAGACTAGCCAGTTCTATACAGAGGACATTTTACGCACCAAACTTGTGTTTGTCATCTTGCAAGTAATAATTAACTCATGTTTTACAGCTCATTATTTTTTCTTCTCAGATGATCATTAAAATGCCATTTCAGTTGTGTGACTGAAAAATATTTGAGAGTTCTGAACATTCCCTTTCTCTAGCATATGCCTATCTTTCTAACTAGTGCCCGGTTGTCGACTTCTCATCATAAAATCAGTCATACCTGCAATTTACGCTGGTCATAATTACTTTATTCATATCATTGTGAATTATCGAAACGCATTATGCAAAAGTTGATATAATCTCATTAGTGAGAGATAATATGAGTTTATAATTATATCATATAAAATATGTTCAAATTTTCTCATGTTACGTTAGTATTATCACACAGCTAAAATAATTTATTTCCAGAATTTCATCTAAAAAGCAATTATATTTATCCCTATTTAACATATCTAATTATTGAGATATTACTAATGATGAAAAAGAAAATTGATTTCACACTCATACTGAGTTTTAATTGACTTTTATAATTTGTTGAAGGGTTTCTCATGAGCTGACATCAGTTAGAGAGCCATTGGAAAACCTAGGAGTACTAGACACCCGGCTGTTTCGTCCTAGTTTGTGACTCTTCACAGTACCCACCCACACTGTGGGGTTCGAACCCAGGACCTTATAATTACAAGGTGTCCTTACAGACCAATGAGTCACTGGGACCAGATCAAATGGCCACCCCAGCTGTTAGGTATCCTGTTAGTGATACTATTGTCATACAGTTGACTTCACTGTAAAAGTAACAAATAAATAGCCTATTTAGTGTCAGTAACTTTAGTTATATTTCGATTTGCAAGGAGAAGTCGTTCAAAGTCATCTATAAAGTCAAAAGAACCCTTCCAAAATCGACAAGCTTCCGTATACTTTGTATTCCGAAGCCTTAGCGATTTGGATGGAAAAGCCTGATTTATGCACACAGAAGAAACTTCTCCACCACCTCCTACTACCGTGGGTTTAATTTCAAGTTTATCTATCATCAGCATTTTGTTATCAAACTTGTTTGCAATTTTCGTATAATAATTTTTAGTAACTAACCCATTCAATCTTTTCACCTATTATCTAGTTTTTTTTCATAATTGTCTCCATACTTCTTCACTAACATCTAATCTTTCTAAACATGTCTATATTACGTAACCCTACTCACATCTTACCAATCTTCACCCCACTTAGTTACAACTTTGATTATTAATTTTAATTTCTTCATTATTTTGATGATGTAATCAACAACTCACACTAACTGTTATTTTGATTTTGACAAACCTAATGTACACACAGACACAAAATTAATTGTGTATATTTGCGACTGTACAGCTAAGTGAATGAATTCGCCGAAAAGAGACTCTTCGCTGAACTAATTTGTTCTTATTTCAATGTCTTAATGGGTATTTTTCGCGAGTTATATTTCTGTTTATGAGGTTTTTCTATGGGCTGTTTAAAGTAACCTCTTTAATTGATGGAATGAACTTTATTGTCGTACAAATATCTCTGTATGCAAATGCATTTGTTATGAAAGAGAAAATATACGTAAAGTGATCTATAGGTTACTGGCAAATAATTATGTGTAAACCAATTTCACAATTCGCATTTTGCACAGTTCGAGAGGAGACATTTTTCCTACAATTTCCTCTGGAAACCAAATTATTTACATCACAGTAAGTGATCTTCTCAATACCATAAATGGTAATCAAGAAAGCAAGCATATTTGCATAAAACTACATTTATATTTATTGATTTATATTTCATTGCTTTAATTTCCAATTGGGACATAGGGCTTCAGGCTATAGCTTTGAAGTTTCAGTAGCAGTGGGCTTATTTACTTTTTACTGTGTGGAGTTGCTACCTTCCTTCCTTGTTTACCGGCCGAACTACTGGCGTAGCGAAGTTTGGGAGCGCATCGGCCGGGGATCGAACCCCGGCTCACTGAGGCATGGTTGGTGAGCATTCTACAGCTGAGCCACCGACACAATACAACATGCCATACTAGATTTATGGTGTCAAACAGATCAAATACTGTGATCTGAATAATTTAGTTTCCCAAAGAAACTATCATGGAATTTTATCCCTTGAACTATATACATTGCAAATCACTAACTAGTTTTCAAATTATGAGTTTGATTCATGGTATCATCAGCTTTACTAAGTAGCTAGCCAGAAATCGGTTGGTTTCAACTGATTCAGCTCTCTGATTTGACTCAAACCGAGTACACAGCTGATGAGCTCAGAGCCAAACGAGTAAAACGGCAGTCCGATGTATATATCGCCTAGATATGGCTAACGAGCACTGCTGGTTGATACGAGTGGTATACAGGTGCTCAGAGCTGTCATTCAATAGTATATAGTTATATGCAGATACTTATGTGTGTGGAACAGAAAGAAATAAAGTTAACTAATAACAACTACACACGAGTTAAACTGTTGTGACAGAAAATGACCTTACCATACTAAAATCAATACCATCTGACGTCTTCATCTGAAGTATGCAAGATCAGTGCTACGTAGTTTGCTGAATTCTTCATATTCCAATGCTTAAAATGATGTTCCACTTAACAGTAAAGAAGATTTGTAGCTGAGTGAGTATGATAACTATTCGATGTTCTCCTAGTATTAGTATTCTGTCAAGGGCATTTCATTGGCAGTCTTGCTGATATCTTCAAAGATTTTAGATAACAGGATTGATAGTGAGCTGAGAACTGTTATTAGTAATAATGGCATCAGTCAGGGAATCACTGGAAACCACCATAGAGTACTGAACAGCTGTCCTGTCCTAGTTTGGAACTCTTCATAGGTACACGTTTCAACCTAAGACCTTCTAGTTACCAGCTCGGCTCGTAGACCACTAAGCTACTGGGACCTGACCCAATGGTCCATGAATTTCAACTTCTGGATGCGTACTGTGAAGAGTCTAAGGCTAAGACGAAACAGCTGCCCAGTGTTCCCAGGTTTTCCAATGGTTTCCTAACTGATTTCATTATTATCAACTGATGTCAGCTAGCGATCAGTTTTGTAACTAAACAGATCCCTGCAAACCAACACTTGACGAATTTAGATAACTTACCAAGTCTTAATTATTAATAATCACATTTTTCCATACTTATTATAAAATATGTGTAAAACACAATTTCATTAGTGCTAGGGAAGTTATTAGGATGGCTGTTGAAATGTTCACCGAAATATATGAAAGCTTAGAGTAAAACTAAAGAAAATTGCGTTGATTCACTTGAACAAGCAAAACAACAGCTCTTCTAGACTCACTTTTACAATCTGACGAAATCTAGTAGATTGGTGTAAAAGTTTACGCATTGTTTTCATTGTCACAGTAAATTCAAGTAGGTAATTTTTGTATATCTCATAAAATGGTGATGAATTCAGTTGTAATTCATTCAATAGCAAATCATTTAATCTGTTGTTTAATTCACAGCAGTCTTCAAAGTCTACACCACACAGAACTTTTAACAGAATGTTAACTGAATTGAAGGTTATAGAATTTTTTACGGAATGTAAATCTCGTTCCATATGAATAAGTATTTGATTATGCATTTTATACATATTCAATAATGAATTTGGGAAAAGCTGACTAAAACAAAGCGTAAAAAAGATTTGACAGGAATTTCAAAGTTTATGTACTTCAATGAATTTCAATGACAGATAAGATTCTATGCATTCAACATAATCTTAACCCAAAATACTAAACTTCCAAACAATAAACAAAAAAATATATTTTCAGATGTCTCTAAACATTTCTGACGGTTAACAAGAATTTAGAGCATTACTGAACACCACTGAATCATTTTGCTTAAAGTTACGCTCGTGAACCGCTAGGCCAAAGTTTGCTTCCTTTATGTATTGAACAAAATTATATCTGTCGCAACTTGGAAACTAATTTCTACTGACGAACTACTAACTTAAGAAAACTAAGCAATCAAAAAATATAAAGAAGTGATAGAAATAGATTAATGAGTTAATTTACCTGATCAGCAGTGTAAAAATAGTTATTATTTGATGGTTGGAGGCAATCGGTAGGATAACTTGCACCTAGATTTCGTGCCAGCTGCCACTCATCAGTCAACAAGGACTATCTGCAATCTTGAAGGAATCCATGTAAATTATGAGAGTCGAACCTGTGTCACTTAATGCTGCAGTCGGAGACGTTGTCACTGAGCTAATCGGGCTCGCGACTGACCTCCTGTGGGACTGTTTTAGATACTTTAACTGGACGCCAGGTAGTAATTAGTGTAATGTGTCTGGACCTTTTTTTGGTGCGGACTGAATTCTGTTAGCACCCTACTGGTCATGGCTTCTCACTACAACCCCAGGTAACTATCTGCCTGAATAAGGTCAATCGCTCACTAGCGACTAGGGTGCAGCAGATCGGGTGTGAGCACAAATACTCGCCACGGACGAAATTGGCTAGCGGTCGCGCTATGTAGGGAATTGGCAGAAGTTAGAATTCATAGGGTGGCCACTGGATCGGGTCCCAGTGACTCATTGGTCTGTAAGGTCACCTTGTAACCAGAAGGTCCTGGGTTTGAACCTCGATGGGTGAGTATTAATGGAAAGTCCCAAACTAGGTTGATGAAAGAGCTGTCCAGTACTCCCATGATGAAATCCTGTACCCAATTAATCAAATCCCTACAAACCAACACTTAAATCTCTGTCTGTCGTTTAGATTAACGAATAATTTATTGGAATTTTAGTCTTAAAGTCACCAAGTATTTAATTACTAGAATAACAGCAGTAATGGTTAGATTCAAATCATACTCTGTCTGTCTGTCTGGATTCAACATAGAACTTGGCACCGAAGTGCAGCAGTTCAAGTTGCCACGTTCCAAAGAGCACACAAAGGTAGACAAGAAAATGAGTGAAGAGAATCAATAGAGTTTTGACAAGTATAAGAGTGAAACAGAATGAGTAATGGTAGAAAGGAATATGAAAGATTACAGAGACTGAATACATCTGCGAAGGCCATTGACAACGATTTTGAGCCATGTCACCTATTGTATCCAGCCATTGATTCTTAGAGTCCCGAGGGCCCCAACCCGGAAGTCTGCATCTCCCTACCTGACTCAGTTTAAGTGTCAAGGATTCCATGGATTGATGCCATGTTTTTGTTTGGCCACCACTTACTCTTTTCCAACCTGCACCTATATCAGCTAGTAATGCCCGTCGGGGGAGGCGATGGCTAGGCATGCGCAGCACGTGACCTAGCCATCTCAATCTATGTAACTTTATAGCCTCGCCGATTGATTTTCCCTCTTTGCCCAACACTCTACACCTAACGTCAACATAACTTACCTTATTATGCCACCTAATGTGAGAAAGAGATCGTAGACATCTATGATCAAAAACAGTCAACCTTTTCATGTCTTCAGCTCGTATTGGCCATGTTTCAGAGCCATAGAGAAGGACGGAGCGAACTGCTGAGTAGTACACACGTCCCTTGGTTGATAGCCGGATGTCACGCCTACGCCAGAGACAACTACATGAAACCCTTTATATCTTTCTACTTATCTCTGACATCGCTTTTTGCATAAATTTAAAGGTGAGTAAATGTTTCTCTGTCTAACTACTGTTTAGTAAATTAATTTGATAATGAAAAACGGAAAGTGGAAAGGAGAAAATGTTATAAGTAACAATCCATTGAACTGGTGAATACAGTATAGTTATTTTTTTTGGTTAGATGATATAAACGTGCACACATACCTCAGATCTTCTTTGCATAGTCCACATTTTGCTTGTATAATTTTAGCAAGTGTATCAATTAAAACGCGGAGTGTATGACAGTAATTACGCTCCGTTTGTATCAATTCATTGATAATGTGTTTAAATATTTCAATATGCTCATGAGTGTTTGTCTTTAATAATATTGTACTATTAGTTTCATAATTATTTAATGGAATAAGAAAACTTTTTCTTGGCATTATTTTAGGTCTTTTCAATTCTTCCACTTTCTCTAGAAAGATAAAGTAACTAATAACTTATCAAAAAAATTAGGAGAATACATCATACTACTTAAATTAACAGTTATAATGATGACAGATATGAATGCACTGGGGAAAAAATCAAATGAAATTCGTTGAATTCATTAGTTTCAATACAACTCTTCAGCTGACTGCTGTAAGCGAGTCCCTATGCACACAGTGATGTAAATATGCACAACATGGAAAATAAGTTATCACATGAGGAGGGATAATGAATTATTACTGTTACTGTTAGGCGTTGGCGGCTTGGCGGTAGAATGTTCGCCAACCACGTATGTGGTCCGGGGTTCGATCCCCGGCTGCCGCACTGCTTTACATCACTAAGCCGGTAATAAGACCGGTAAAGAAGGAAGGCTGAGTATGAGGTTAGCAACCTCCTCCGGTAAAAATAAGCACCACGGCAACTGCAATTTCAAAGCTTTATCTTGAAACCCTATGTTCCGCTGAGAACGTAAGGGCATAAAATTTAAAAAAATACTACTGTTACATATCTTGTTACTATTGTTGCTCCTGTACATATAATACTAGCTCCCGAATCTTTCACTGTTATAAAGCTCTTCGTTTAAAATCTCTCTTTTCCTTTCAGAGAGAAGTGAATTATTTCTAACACACCTAAGACGATGGTTGAAATCTATCTGTTGTAATTACTATTCCAATTTCTCGTTAAACAGGTTAACGGTAGCAAAACACTTGATCCGCACTGATATCATGTAAGCATCCACATTAAGAGCTGGCATGTCACCAGTGAGCGATCATTTCGGTCTAATAAGTTCAGCCAACAGGAAATTCAGAATAATAATCTCAAAGAATAACAGCTAATACCCACTGTACAAGAAGTAGCTCTTTTAGCCCATTGGTCTGGAAGATAACTCTTTATAGTTTATGGGTGTTATATTCCAGCAGCAGAGAGGAAATCCCTCCTCACTGAGGATGAAGCTGATGTGTTATAAATACGACGAGGCATATGTCCTGAATTCCACAGTTAGTCATCATAAACCAAGTGAAATAACTGGGTATTTAAGATTATTGAGCCTAATAATAGGCGCGACTTTTGGTATTTTAGGCAGATGAGGATTATCAAGATAGCTTAAATGGGAATAACATTCATCTTACTGCATTTTAGCATGCGCCTCTTACGGACTTTGTATACAACGTTGCAGAGTATTTTGACACCAAACTTGTAGTTCACATAACTGATATGTATTGCTAAAGACAAAACCGTTAGTCTTCCACCTTCGTTTATAGGGGTTTGGGCGGTACTTCTCCACCTCCTCTGTCAAATGCGGAGCTCTGTTACTCCTGTCTATGTATGATTGTCTATACACATGTAAATCGGCATACAATAAGCATCAGTGGTTCAACAGTAGGACACTAACCAACCACGCATGTGGTCGGGAATTCAGTCCCCGGCTGATGCCCTCCAAAACCTCTCTAAACCAGTAGCAAGTCGGATAAAGAGGAAACATTGAGCTTGGAACTGGCAATCCCACAAAGTAAAAATAAAACCACTGATACTGGAACTTCATAACTCTGCCTTGAAGCCCTATGTTCCACGAGGAATGTAACGGAATGAAATAAATAAAGATAATGGGATGTTCATGAAAAATCCCCATTCGAACATTAATAGAGAGAAGACAAGTAGTTCAGCAAAGAGTCTCTTTTCGAGAAATTCACTTTCTTGGCTGTACAATAACAGATATATATGGGTTATTTTGAATGTGTATGTGTACACTAAGCTCGTAAAAACAAAAATACAATTGGTTATGGTTATTTTAACTAAACAGCTGAGAATTAGTAAGTTTTCGGTGGAGTTACGTAATACAAAAGTATTCAGAGGGATCGGATGTTGATATAAGAGGGCGGTAACAAAAGTGATGACTTGTCTCAATCGATTCTTGAAGAAGAGTTACGTAGTGACATGAATAGTTTGACGAAAGAGTTGTGCTCAGGGTGAACAATGGAAACTAAATAAAATATGGAATTACGTAAAAGTTTTAAGGGAATGCAAGAGTTTTAAGTAGTTAGAAAAACAAGCAAAAAAGCAGAATTTAAGTCAGATCAACAGACTTGTTGCCATGATAGTAGAAGTGGCTGAATTATTTTCTTTTGTTTGTATAGTTCTGGTTCTTCCAACTGAATGACTGGGGCTCCTGCAATGCAAAGAAGACGGAAACGTATTGTCTTTGACAGGTTGTTCTTCACTTTGTAGGTTACTTTGAAGGAGGCGTTTGTTTAGATGGAATGACCAGTGATGACGAGATGTTCGATTATTGCACTCCCTATACGGCCACTTCTTCCTTTCTGCAGCCACGCCGGATAGTGTTCTTTGACCCTTTTTGACAGGATGCACGCTGAACGAACGATGTACCTGGCTCCACAGCAACAGGTGAACTGGTATATACAGAAGTGGTCAGGTGAGGGATCTTGTCCTTTGAGCTTCGGCAGATCAGCGGGTGAGTAGAGAACACTACTCTCAATGTTGCCGCAAAGAAAGTTCTTCCTAAAGAAGTGGAAATTCTCCTCTTAATTATATCATTGAGTAGGTCACCTTTGAAGTCAAGGTCCATTTAAAGTAGCTTTTTGGATTTTCTGTTTGATGTTTTTGTCTATGAATCTTGGTCCATAACCGTTTCGTATGAAGATTTCTTTCAGGAAGTGTAGTTCTTCTTTCAGGGTACCAGAGTTGCAGATACGTCTGACACGAGTAGAAAGGGATCTAATTAGGTTTCTTTTTCGACTGATTGGTACCCATCTGTAGAAGCTTGTCAGTTGGTCTTTCCACGTGGGTTTCCTATGGATGAACCTTCTTAAAGTTCCGTCAGCTCTTCTTGTAAGTTCAACAGCAATAAAAAGAATTTTAGATCCTTTTTCTATTTCAAGTGTAAACTTTATGAATAATTCCGTATTTTGTTCTGTTACCATTGTTCACCCTGAGCACAACTCTTTCGTCAAACTATTCATGTCACTACGTAACTCTTCTTCAAGAATCGATTGAGACAAGTCATCACTTTTGTTACCGCCCTCTTATATCAACATCCGATCCCTCTGAATACTTTTGTATTACGTGACTCCACCGAAAACTTACTAATTCTCAGCTGTTTAGTTAAAATAACCATAACCAATTGTATTTTTGTTTTTACGAACTTAATGTACACATACACATACAAAATAACCCATATATATCTGCTATTGTACAGCTAAGAAAATGAATTTGCCGAAAAGAGACTCTTTGCTGAACTACTGGTCTTCTCTCTATAGTGGGATGTAACGTAATCACTTCCACAGCGTTGCTGTCTGTATTCTGGATTGCGCTGTGTATTTTAGTCATACGTTTTAAATTCACACTAAAAGAAAGATGCTTTTGACAACAAGGAAAACTGGTGATGTTACTTTTGAATTCAAATCGTTTTGATAAAAAGGCTTGCATATTAATGTACTGAAATAATAACGAAGATGTACAGTGTCTGACAGTATTCACTGAAGCAAATTATATCGTCAATAATAATCAAAGTATTTGATACATTTTTTTAAAAAATATTCTCGTAGACAGATGATTTAGTTGCAAGGCCTCCATTGTTCTTGTAGACAATACCTTCAACGCTAAACTTCTCAGTGATGCTGAAAGGATGATGTGTGTTTAGCACTCAGTTTAGAAGATGCAGAAAAAACTAAATGCATCTGTGGTGAGAGCTGTCTACTAGCCAAATTGTTAGACAGTAATTTACGTCAATGTTTACGTTCTCAAGATTGATCGTGAGAAAATGTGAACAAAAACTGATTCAAAACCGACCACAGCAAACTTTGCGTAGGCGGATACAGTTAACATATAGATGACGTGACATTCAAGAAACAGTCACAAAGAGATGAAAGATTAACTTTAAGTGAGAAACAACCAATCGGAAGACTGTGTTTGTTTACTTAAATATCCATAGTAATGTACATGAAAATATATAAATATGCGTTGATTTCCTTAATAAATGATCTGTTGCCTGGCCCTTGTCTTCTGTCGTTCACATCCACCGACAAATTCTCTCCACTATTTCAGTAGTTAGATTAATTACCACTCACTACATGAGTAAGTAAAATGTGCCAAGAGTATATGAATTTTTGTTTGGTAGTTTCATTGACTATAAAGTTTATCAAAACTGTAAATACAAATCCCAGGTGCTCACCTCTCAATAACTCTTACTATTACTTTTCACCAAGTTTTTTGATTAGTCATAACAACTAACTACTTGTGGGCTTCAGATGAACTGTCGTCAAGATTTGACAGAATAGTTCTAAAATATTTGGGCGCCGAGTGAGAAGTAGACATTTGTAATTACTCATTTCAGTCTCGCTGAGACTTTACAAATATAATTTTTTACAAATGTCTACTTGTGGGCTATTATTATAATAATTATTACTAAAGTGAAACAGCATTAATAAACAAAACGTGAATATGTAACAAATGATTTACGTTTTGTAGTATTTAAGTTACCTTCAGTAGACATTTTATCATCCTGTATTTTTAAAGTTGACTTTGCACAGCTAACTTCATCATCAGCATCACCATCCACTTTCACTGCATCAGCTTTATGGTCATATATTTGTGAAGTACTGAGACTATCAGCAGATACTAAATTTGAGATATCGTTTACAGTTGTAGAATAATTTTGATCGTTGCTATCTGCCAAACATGTATCTTCACTAACTGTTGGAGTTAGTGGCCGGAGAGGTATTTTGTTACTCAAGGTTGGAGAGATCTGTAAATTGTTAACGGATTGTTTATCCTGACATAAATAGAAGAGGAAGGAGCCTAAAGATAATAGGATACTTAGAGCGAAAAATCATTTAAGTGAAAAAAGTGAACTAAAAATTAGATTTTGATGTACAAAAATTAATTTTTTGATGAAAACCAATGAATATCGATAAAATATACGGTTTTATAGTTAACCTAAATAAAATGACACTTAGGTCAATTAACTTCCTTTAGGAATTTTGATAAAGTAGTAGCAGATCTGTTGAAGAAAGGGCAAGATTTTCCCAACCAGAGTGACAGTGATTCAGTTCATGAAAGTTAAGTTTCTCATGAAGCCTACTTCAATGTGTTTATCCTAAATTTAAATGTTCCTGTGAGGCTGGTTACGCGAGCTGTACATACACATTAGATCACAGGGAATATTTTATAGACGGTTTCAGCGAAGAAAGTCTCCTGTTCGACGAAGTCATCAACTAGGCTGTATATTCGTGTATACATGGTAAATGGTGAGAAAGTTGCAGAACTATTTCCGGTTCAGGGTCAAATTAACAAGATTACAAATAGCGATTAATAATTGCAAAATAAATGGGAAAATTGGACTAAAAACAAAGCAGAATCATAATTACTGAGAAAAATGACATTTTCGCGCAATTAAAGATTGGAAATGTAGGAATAACAAAACAGACAGGAAGTTAGAGTAAAAAACATAGTAGTGCAGATAGGGATTTACAGAATGTGAAAATAATAGAAATAAACAAGGGGTTTGAAGATGAAAGAAAGGTAATAGAATAGTCATTATTAAGAGAAATGACTGTTTATGATAGCTATGCAAAAGCCAGAGGTTCAATGTATTTCTGTTGAATACACCACGTGAACTTGAACTTTTGAATCACTGGTGCCTAAGCTATGCCCAGATGCTTTGATTTCACTCCATTTGAGAGGTTTAATCAAACCTTTTATATGTTTCGTCACAAAGCTATATGCACACTTACGTTCTCCCTTTGCTAGCCAGACTGGATAGTGTTCCTGAGAATGTTTTACAAAAGTGAACGTATGACATCTATGTACTCAAATTCAAAAGAGCAAATCAGCTGGTATATGCACGTTGGCTGCAGCACTGGGTGGCACAGGGCCGAGTCTGAAGGGGGAAATGAGTTCCTTTAAGGTTACGGATACGCCCTGGTGACTGGTGAGTACCATCAAGCATGAAATCTAGGTGCAAGGTTTATTGATGACTGCCTCCAACCGTTTAACAGCAACATTTTGGAGTACACTGTGATGTCGAGCCAGCTAGAATGGTTGCCACATTACAAAGTTAATTGATAGAATTCGGTCTGCACCAAATAAAAGACTAGACGCATGATACTAGTTGCTTAATAACTAGTGTTCAATCAAAGTATTTTATTGTTTGGCGTTCCTTGTCAGTAGTTTTTTTATTTATGCTGAGTGGATTTAGTGATTAAACTGTCTTGTTTATTTCTAATTTGTTAGACAAAAGATAAATCTGATGATCTGAACTATGATTAGAAACTTTTGTTTTGTTCTGTACACTTTCACAGCAAAAAATTGTGCTCAGTAGCACAAATTTTAACTTTAGTTGTTCCCCAATTCTCTAGCGAAGGTCAGTGCTAACAGATTTAGTTTACAAATTTAAACTATGAAGAAAAATGAACTACTACTTTATGACTCGGTAAATACATGAATAGTTATCTGGCCATCTCTGGTAGTCAAGTAATGGTCTCTAGCTAAATTCTTCAAAAGTGCTGTCACCTTAAAAGTTCCCTAGGGAGGAAAAACGATATCTAATGGATTTTCGTTTTTAATTGTCCTCTAGTTGGTGTCGACTGTGACGAAATTCACCACTGGAAACTAAAGTCATTCAAAGCAGTTTAACATGTCCCTACATATATTTCAGTTCACCCTTAAGATTCACATAATTATTTCTTATTTTTTCAGTTTCACTCTTAATAGTTGGCTATTTAACATAAACTCTTTAGATGTAAAACACCTGGTAGAAATTTTCAGTAAGAACGTGATAAGAATAGTCATTTTATCATGGAGTATTTGTTTGGAAAATCTTTCCTGAACCAACTAATTACAAGATTTATACTTATTAGGATGTTCCAAATAACATTTTAATTATTATCTGTTTTCCTTCTAGACTGTATATCACTATTTTGACATTTGCATATCACATGTTGACTTGATCCTTATTATTTCTCTTTCTCACTGTTCATTCTCTGATTTTAATGCCTCTCTTTGAGGTTGTGCAATACTCTGACAATGTGTTTTTTTACGATGTGACTTTGTTTGAGTGAATTAAGGTGATTCTGACTTTCGACTGTCTATGGAAAGCGTTGAGGTGTTGTTCTTGCGGATAGAGTCTTCGATCCCACCATGTAGGGAATATTCTACTTAATTCTGAGGTACTTCTTACGGTTAAATTTCAGTTAACTAATTTTTCTCTACATCACTTCTTTTGTGCTAAAAGCTTATGTAGGCTGTATAGCTACTAACGGCACTGTTAAGGTAATTTTGACCTTTTGATGTTATTGTTGTTGAATACGCTGGACCGATAGGAAGGCTCTAGGAGATCTGGATTTAGCAGATGATATACGTCTAGTGTCTCACAAACTTGAAGACTTGTGGGCGAAAACCAACAAACTGTCTGAAGAGGCAGCGAAGACAGGACTGCAGGTGGACATAGAGAAGACAGAAGTGATGAAGATGAAGATAACCAACGAACCGCAACAACAATGACAACAACCGGCACCAATCATCATCAGTAGGAGAGATTTGACAGAGGATGTTTCCTTCACTTATCTAGGAAGCATCGCTTCAACCACAGGCAGTCGGAACGGATGAACATATCAAAGCCAAGCAGAATCGGAAAGACAGGATGCACATGCCTTCATCAACCTGAAACCAATTTGGAAATCTTCTATTGTCACTCATCATAAGGAACAAGATTTGGATTTTCCATACAAATATGAAGTCAGTTTCTTCTTCTATATGGATCAGAAACTTGGCGCTTCGCGTAAAGCATTTCCCACGGGCTACCGCAGATTTTTATCAACAGCTGCCTTTGCCGGCTCTATAGTGAAGCTCAAATGGTCAGATAGTGTTTGCAACACGAAACTATGGTTGAGAACAAACCAACCGATAGTCGATTGCCCGACAAATATGTTGGAGAAAATGGAGATGGATCGGACATACGTTGAGGAGGCCGTCGAATGGCATCGCGCTCCAGGCCACCGTTCTAGCAGAATCCAAATGGGAAACGATCAGTGGGTCGTCGGTGCGAGGGTGACATGGATGAGATCGTGTGGCGAGGAGGAGATGAGAGATTATGGGCAATCGTCGAGCCAAGTAAGGAGGATAGCATAAAATGGAACAAATGGAACGTTCCACTCAGAACCCACGGGAATAATAAAATAATATAGTACTGTTGAATACAGCCATAGGTTTTACTAGAAATCACCGTCTTTTTGCTGTCCTTGGAGGGTTTTGGTGACTCTGTGGGTCTCAAAAAATTTTGTCTAGCTACACAGTAGGACATAAAGATAGGTTTCCTGAGTTCAGACCACAACGAGTCGGTTTTGGTAGTTGCAAATTCAGCAACTGGATCTGTGAATCCACTAATGATATTGCCTAAATTTGAAAGGGTGAAGTGACAGGCTACAACTTTTTACCTTTAGAAATGTTCATTAGTGTTTATGTTGCTCAAATATGTTATTAAGCTTTTACTATCGTAACTGGATTTTTTTCAACTGGTAGTTTTCTACACAGCTTATCGTATAATAACTTTAATGACTTACTAATTGTGATGATTTTGATACTGATGAGATAATTTCCAGTGCAATATACGCATCCTCTTCATTGGAATCATTCATTTCATATATTCTTGGCTTATCTGTTGAAACAAATGTTTCATTGACATAGTTGTCGGCTTAAAAATACACAGAAATAGAATAAACAGTTAAACATCTCTGAAAGAGTTACATTTCAACATATTTTCGAAGTATTTATTGCACATTAATATTTATCAAAGTTAGAGATGGAATTCCTAGAGCTAGTAGAATAAATCGTCAGCTTATTTGATAAACTGAGATAATCTGAAATGTATTAATCGTGTTGTACATGCACTAACTTTAGTAAAATGACACTCAATTAGGTGAAATACAAATGAAGTCAATCTCGTTAAAATAAAGCATATGGTGACATATATGTAAGCAGTAAGATAGCCGGAAACTAAATATCAAGCCTATAGAATTTGTGCCAATAAATAAAATGGGGATTTGTATGTCACTCATCTCCACCTGGTCTAACTATCTCTTTCACAAGGATCGTTTATGATATGAGGCTTATCATTTTTCATGAAGTTGGTCAAACATGTTTTTGAATTAACCTCCTTAAGTGTGAGTGATATGATAGTAATTATTTCTATACAGGAGGCGGCAGATTTAAAGAAGTAAAAGAAAAAGTCGGAAATGACAAGCTCATCCACTCACCGTTATTTTGTCTTAAATAATGTAATCAACAAAGACTGATAACTCACAATATCTACGATATTGTACAAAAAGTTTACTGCTTCAATAGAATAGCTAATGTCAGAATTAGCATTAACAAATTAATAATTCGTTGGATGACTTCATTATGAACTGACGTCGGTTAGAAAGCCATTGGAAATCCTGGGGGTACTGGACATCTGTTTCATCAGTACGCACCCACCACAAGGATTCAAACTCAGAACCTCCTGGTTGCAAGGTGAGCTCGAAGACCATTAGGTCACTGGGACTCGATCCACTGCCCACCCCATGAATTCCAACTTTTGCCAATTTATGATATAGCGTGACCACTAGCCAGTGTCATCCTTGGTGAGTATTTGTCTTCACACTCCACCTGCTGTGCCCTACTAGTCATGGCTTCCCACTAGAACCCAGGCGAATGTCTGGATAGGGCCAGTCGCTAGTGAGCATCAGATTGCTTTGTGACCAGAAGGTCCTGGGTTCGAACCCCGATGGTGGGTGCAAACTGACGAATAGCCCCAAACTAGGACGAAACAGCTGTCCAGTACTCCCAGGTTCTCCAATGGTTCTCTAACTAATGTCAGCTCATTATGAAATCCTCCAACCAATCAAACAAAATCCCTACAAACCAATACTTGAAAATTCATAATTGTCTCATTTTATTGTTATATTTCCAAAAGTACATTTTTTCGAAACAGAAAAAGAATAATAGAAAGTGAATAATTTATCGAGCTATATCAAGAATGAAAATCTGATATTTCAATACGAAAAAGAAAACTGTTTTTTATTTGCTACGTAAATAAAGCTAGAAATTATTTGAAATCGAAAAAAATATATATTTCAGTAGTCCCACAGCATAAGATCTAATGTTTAGATAAAACAATCAACACGCCTCAATAAATAAGGAAAGCAAAAAAAATTAAATAGTTTTAAGCAAAAAGCTGAATGCCCTATAGTACTGTTATCATTAGAATATATATATATATATATGTATATATATATATATATAATGACGACATTGAAACTCCTTAAACTGAACACACTTAGGTCGATAAACATTTATTAAAACCGAATGAGCAATACTTCAATAAAATTGTAAATGCACACAGTTCACGTCTGCATAATTAAACAAGTAATAATTGTAGCTAATAGTACTTTTTGTGCATATTATTATTATTGTTCCGTTGGGTTTCCGAGTGGAACATGCAGCTTCAATAGCACATCTCCACTTTGTCCTATTCTCTGACGTCCTCTTTAACTGGCCCCGCGACCACCCATAAGCTCTCATCTCCTCCTCTCACGACCTCCTACATGTCACTCTTGGACTCAGGCCCAACTCGTCGTCTACCATTCGGGTTCCACTCGAGCTCTGACCTGGCATGCAATGTCGCCCAACGGTCCCCTCAGACTGTGTCCTATCCATCTCCGTTTTCCTGGATATATTTATTCAGCGGTAGGTTCTTTATAGGTTCTTTCCTAAAGTTTCTTGGTGCTAATTCTTTCTGGCCGGCCAGCCATCTGATCTTCCGTATGCAATCGGGGAGAACAGGTGTTGATAAAAGTCTGTAACAGGCTGTTAGAAAAGCTTTTCTTGATGCGCAGTGCAAGTTTCTGATCCATATAGAACAACTGACAGACTTAGCATTGGTGTTGAAAATCCGAATCTTGTTGCTTTTGCTGCACTGAAGTTCAGGAGATTTTCGAACTGATTTCATAATCATGAAGGTCTGCCTTGCCTTTCTCATCCAAGTCATGACGTCCTCACTCGTCTATCTGCCTGTGGTTAAAACCATGCCTTCTAAATAAGTGAAGGAAGTGACCTGCTTCAGATTTCTTCCGTTTTCAGTAATCAGTTATTTCCATCACCTTCATGTTCTCTGTGTTCACTTGAAGTCCTGTCTTCCCTGTCTGCCTCATCTGCCAGTTTGTTGGTTTACGCCTCTAAGTCTTCGAGTTTGTATGAAACTGGACATACGTCATCTGCATAATCCAGATCTTCTAGATTTGGATTTGTCTTTTTTTAATCACTTTCAATTTTAGACAGTGCCACTGTCTGCATCGACAGCTTTCACTGACCTCTTTTTCTTTCTCCCTTATGTTCTCTTAACTACTACAAACAAATAAATGCATATTCATCCAGAAGATTACACTGAATATTTTAGTTTTGTGAACTAATTATTATTATTTATCTGATTATTATTTGAAAACAGAATTTCTAACTCAAAGTTTTCAAAACTTTCGCCGAAAATTTTCTTCTCATTTTGTAATTTCTACCACTTAAATGTTTGTGAACTGTCTAACACAAAGTGCGATATATCATTATTTTAAACTACACTTATCCAGCATAACTGTGCTGAATAATAAAATTAATTTAATTTCATACTATTGTCAAATGATTTGAAGAAGTTTGTAACCATTTCGAGTTCCATTCGAGTTCTTATCAATATTTCATTCCTGTAATAAGAAGCAGGGTATGTACAACTTTTGTTGGTGTTTATTTTAGACACATCATTTCATATTTCCCTAATTGCCTTCATGGCATGCAGCTGTTCTGCACGAGAGTGAAGGGGCAAATGCTAATATCAAGCGATTAAAACCGAACTGATGGATTTATCAATCTACCTAGGGGAGCTGGAAAATCCTGATTCCCAACGTACGGTGTATGCGGGCTCGAGAATCACAAGGGATAGAATAGCGTATTAACCTCTTTTGGCCACTAGTAGCCGCAGGAATGCAGCTTGTGACCCTGCTGTACAGCCTTATTGATCAGAATTCAAGTCAAAGACTCGAGGGAGTGGCTAATTAAGACAACCAACTCTTTCGGTTTGGTCATCCGAGTAGTATCCTGGCCCTCACAAAAACTATGGAATGGTGTGGAACATCTCTCGGTGCTCAAAATGTACTGAGTTAGTGTACTCATAATAGTAATGTCATATTTCTTGATTCAGTTCCTTTCTTGCCTTTGAAAGAGAATAGCTGACGAAAGAATTTTCAGTTACCGAAAACATATGTTCAGAAATATGAAAATCAAGTCCGTTAATTGTTTTTAACTATTTCAAGAATACACTTTTCACGCATTAATTTAATGGTTGAAATAATTTGACAAATTTAGTGTCATCAATTTTTTCATTACTTTATCTGTAACTAGTCAATTAATGATTGATGATTGCCTAAATCAAATCACAGAAAATTAGATAAATAAACAGAAATCTCATTTAACTGCTTAAAGCGCGAAAAAAGCAAATAATCTAAATACATTTTGTCTTCTTCAAATAAGTAGACTTAGCCTTTTCCACTTTCTGGCTGAATGGTTTACGAGCTTGCTTTGGTCCTAGGTTCAAACCTTGGCGGGTATATAGTGATAAAGGGTCCCAAACTAGGACGAAACAGCCTTACAGTACTCCCAGATAAAAGGGGAGTTGGTAGTTCAGCGGTAGAACGCTCACAAACCAGGCACGTTGTCCGAGGTTCGACCCTTGGTCGACGCACACCTAAACCCTACTTAGCCAGCAGTAAGACCGGTTAAGAGAGAAGGTTGGGCGTAAGTCCAGCATCCTCACCCAGTAAAAATAAAACTACTGCTACAGAAAATTCAAAGCCTCAGCTTGAAGCTCTATGTTCCACTCGGCAAGTAAGCGATTAAAATTAAAAAAATAAGTTGACTTAGCCTTTTCCACCTTCTGAAATTGATGATTCATCTGGCTCTGCTCTTAATTCACATCTCGGTGGTGTACAGCTTCCTAAAGAACACTGTATTCCCAGATATTCCTGTGGAAATGAATTTCCTGAGTCTGAGTTCCAGCACTTCGTGGACTGACATTCACAAAATTTTGACCTACAAAGTTGAAGAATACGAAATTATTAGTACACGTGTCTTTTCATCTTTAAACAACAGGACAAAACCACTAGGGAACGATTCACTTTTAATAGCTGAATCATACACAAAAGTAATATTAAGATTTTTGATCAAAATTAATTAGTTAGTGTAAAACATCGAATATTTTAAGCTAAAAGTATAGTGAGAAAACTGTAAAATAAATTCACAGACGATGCACCGTACTAGTTAGTCAAAAATCTGTGTCAAAAGTCTTATTTTAAAGTGTGACAAAATGCAGTGAAACTTTATTAACTCCTGGCTGTCCAATCTAAGCAGATTTTTGTTAATTCTAGGAAACGTTTCGTCTCAATAAAATCCAGTAATATATTTTGATTTGTGCTGTATTTTTTCGTCAAGTATTTCTTTCTTTCTTTTTATGATTAAAATGCTTTCTGTAGCATTCCGGCTGTCATTAAGTGGAGTAGCATGATTTATAAGAATCTGTATCACGTATCTTTTCAGTATTCACAAAGGAACTGCTGTGTTACAAGAAAAACAAAACGAGATGAGAATATGATTACCACTCTTGAAAGTATCATTAGCAGCATCAGGGAATGAACGAATTGCTTATGTCTCCTAAAAAATTAATTTAATTTCAGTGATATTTCATTCAGGAGTTATTTATTATCCAGCGTTTGCATTCATTGATCTTTTATTTTCTCACTAGTTAGTGATAAAAGTGTATGTCTATAAACTTTTGTTAAGATCAAAAGATCTCGTAAAATGAATCTATTTACTCCATAACGATGATTACATTTAGAGCGCCTAAAATGTCGTAGATTCATTGATGTAATAATAAGATTTCGGCGCTACTGTAGAGTAACATAAAGAATAGAAACTGCATGTAACTCAACAGAACCACTTTATTCACTATTGTCCAGAACAAAAGGCACAAGTTCGAAAGAAGATGAGATCAAATCTACCACTTGTGAAAAACAGTGCATGTAATGACCTTGAAAAAACAATGACATGTAATCCTTCATATCAGTACAGGCGGACATCATTTGGATACAAATTCGACTGAAAATATATAGAAATCCAAACAGCTTACATACTAAAAATGCCGGAGAATATCTAAAAGCCTGTCACTCAGGCCCATCTTCAGTCAATGGAAATGCAGATATACGTCAAATTTATTATATAATCAGTCCATAACAAGTCACATGGAGGAAAAGTGAAACGTTAGTTGAGGGATATACCATGCAAAAGTCCATGAATGGTATATCTTTCGGTGGCGCAGATGCATTCACCTCATTAATCTTCATTAGCCCCTATGACGTTGCTCTGTAACCCCACCCACCCCCCAAAACATCCAAATCTTATAGCTTCGTTTACATTTCCCTTTTTCTCCATCATGATGTATGCCTTACGAGGCATGATAGTCATAGCTGCCTCACTTCTGTGCAAAATTCAACGTTAAAAATTCAGTTCAGTTCGGTAGGATTTCAAAACACCCATCTCGCAATGAAGTGAGCACTGAAGATCTTATATGAAAGGATAACGAAGCCTTCACAATTAAACCACCTAGCTCAGGGATTATAGTCACACATTGACCTACAAATCTCTTCTACTATCTCAGAGTTTAAATTCATAATAAATTAATTTTGTCTGACATAATAGAAGTTGGTGTAGTATTGTAGTGGTGTGACACAGAAAATGTCTGCCAATGGAATATTATACTCACACTGCTTGGCTTTTGGTGGCTCTATCTCAGCAAACGTCTTGCTTAATAGTTGCATGGTCACTTTCGCAAGCTCCCTAATATCCAGTGGCTGTAAGACGTTAATCAGATGTAGCTGTTGAGATATGTGTTCTGAAACACTCTCCATAAACTGAGACGCCAACATTTGTGCCTCAGAATCTTCGTCAAGTGTTGACAGCGCTCGACGCAGTAGGTTTGTCAGGGTAAGCGCCAGTACAAGAGGATCACCGTCATCTCCCAGCTTCATGGTACGAAACTGCTGCATAGCTGGCTTTCTGTCCATCGGGCTGTCAAACTCCTGCTTCAAGCGTTCACCCACTGACTTCCAAGTTGTTTGCCCTTTTTCATGTGCCTCACGCTGTCATTTGCTGCCTTCGTCTGACCTCTCAGAAGCTTTCTTAGTAAAAGCGTCTTCGCTGACAGCTCTTGAACTCCATTGAACTCCGCAACAGCCTGGAAGTGCTTCAAGAAGATTTATATGTCTCTTTCAAAACTGCAGGCTATAGGACTTTCATTTCTCGATAGTCAGCGACACCAAATGTGAAAACAGAAGGCAATACACGGGAGCCAAGGTATATTTTTCATTAATCAAACCGCTGTCTATATATCTACAGTTTATTTTCGTTAACCAATCACCGAGCGTGTGATTTCAGTTTACATCAAACAAAATTATTATTATTATTAATGGAATAAAATGTTCAAATATACATAGTACTCTTTTGTTAATGCAATATATAACCGTGGGAAATGTATTCGGACACTAGCATCAAAGAGAATGTTCAAATAGATATATTTTATTCTGTTGCTAATGCAGTATTGAACTGCGGGAATATGTGAGCATAATATTCCGTTAGCAAACATTGTCTGTATCACACCACCACAGTATTACTTATTTTCTGATGATTTTTATATAATGTAATCAGCGATAAATTTTGCCTTAAATGATATCAGTAAATAAATAACATTAAATCGCTGCATGTTAGTTATATCGAGTGAAATTATCTTATTACTGTGCTAGACTCAATCTAGTATAATTTCTATTACCAGATTACTGTACCACAAACCCATTGTGAAACAATGCGTTCTAAAAGTCCTTGTTACTTTTGTTATTTTAAGGGTTATGATCTACGTAGTAGCCGACCATACACATGGTCCGGGGCTCGATCCCCGGCCGATGCACTCCTGTACCTCTCTAAGCCAGAAATAATGCTGGTGGAGAGGAAAGGTTGGGCATGAGGCTAGCAACCCCATCCTGTAAAATAAACACTGCTACAGAAACTTCAAGCCACTAGCTTGAAGCCCAATGTTCCACTGGGGAACGTGAAGGAAGAAGAAAAAGAATCTATGTAGTAAATAATAGCTTACTGTAGTCTACATTGTTAAACATAATATTTTCGTATAGTATGTTGCTGGCATACATAAATCTAGATTGCATGATAAATGGTTACTCAGAAGTTCTTTTCGAAATTCGTTAGATAATTAGTTATTACGTAAAATATGGTAATGTAATGTTATGATTTTGAACATTTTATTATAATGAATGGCCACTACTAATTCAGCATGCTGCCTTGATATCAAATGTACATCATACTCCTTCGTGAAATGAAGTCAGTAGTACAGAGACCCTTAATTAGTACAGTGCACTGCTACAAATATACCCAGTGACATATATTTTAAGTCCTACCAAACTTATAATATCAATTATATCAAGTTGAGATATAATCATGACAAGTTAGCATCCCACAAAAACCTTACGTTCCACAATCAGAAATTCATATAGTAACGCGAAAAACCCCAGTATGCTCTAGCATATGTATTAGCTCTAAGGGACATAGCGGTAGCTTTCTTCTAAGTCCTTTTTGGAAAAGAACAACTAAATCTGTCTAACTGTCAAGTGTTGATAAACTTCAGAAGGAAACATTTCACAAATCTTACCTATTTTGTCCAGTGAGATCAAGAACATTTCTCCTTGTTAAAACTGAGCCTGAATAACGATGGTATGACCGTTTCTTCCGTTTTGTAAATAGATTTTCCCTATTGAGTGATCTTTGATGATTGTGGAACTGCTTTATGAGTAAATTTGTATCCAACAAATGGTTATGCGTTGCAAATTTATAGTTACATCTACTTTCATTTCTTAATGAGGTGACTTCATGTAATCCGCTTTCGCCACTGCTTCTTAATAATCCTTTATGACGATGTGGATATGAACTTGCACGATTTTGTTGTTTATGATAGTGATTTTGCTCAATACGTGATAAGCGTTTGTCAAGAACAGCTTCGTTCGCCTCCAAAATTTTAATTTGTTTTTGTAATGAACGAAACTGATACTGTTTTCGTGAAATAAAAGAACAGAAATAAGTTCAGCTTGTAGTAAAAAACCATGATTTGTATGAATCAAGTTAATACCTACTCTCCAGCAATGTTTATTCAAACTACTGTTTCCTAAATATGTAAAAATTAGACAGCAGTTGGAAGTCTGCTCAGAATGTTTATTCAAAGCGAAAACGTTCCTGGAATACGTCTATTTTTCAACTTGTAACTAATTTTTTTTCAAATTAACACAGATGTCAATCGAAATTGAGCTGACTCTATTCTTGTAGATCAAGTCAAAGGATTTTTCGCTTCTTCTGCAGTCACTTGTCCACTAGATCCACACAGTGGTGTATAGCAAATCAATAATTCCTCCGTGAGATACAGAACAAGAGCTTTAAAAACTTCATTTATGTATTCTTCCGGATAAATGATAGTAGATTTTACTAATGTAAGCCATACAGAACTTTCTAAAATAGAGGGAAATTTCACGCTCAAAAATAAGTGATCATAACACCAGACAAAACTCAAGGTGAATAAATTAAATAATATAAGTAAGTAATAGACAAAACAAGAGAAAACAGACGCGTTAGTAATTAAATGGGTTGAATGCCATCGGTAAACTGGAAATCCGAATCCATCCTAATTCAAATAAAAACCGAACAGAAGTTGAGAATAATAAACCATGCTCAGATTAAAATGTAATAGGATAAAAGTCAATAATATCGAATATGGAAGATGTAAAGCTTTTGGAGACACATTTATTATGATATTTTACGCCAGATGTTAGAAAATCGGTTATGCATTCCGCTCCTCTTCATGAATTTCTGCTAGTAAAGCTTCTGTGGAGAATCCTCTAAGTTAGAGAGGCATTCTAGAAACCCGAAATGTCCGACTACATGAATTTCTTACCATTTTTTACACACACAAAATCTAATTAAAAAATTACTTTACTATCATAAACTTCATACATCACATGAAGGCGTCTAGCTATCAAATTGCAATTCTGTTAGTTTTCCGATTAAGAAAAAATGAAAGGCAAAAACATCTCCAATCTACCCTGTTAATCTATTAAACAAGTTACTCGCATGTAACTGTTAGGTAATTTGATGAGTCCGATTGAAATTCTACATAGTTTTCCTTTAGTTTATATAATGTAACCAAAACACCACTCATCAAAGTTGTTTTAATTTTTAATTTGATAATATTGCAGGGATAATGAAAAAAGATTGGAAAAGTCTCTACCCTAAACCTATCTTGCAACCAAGTTGGTTCCCGTTTATCGACAACAACAACAAACTCTTTGGTCCAGTCGAATGTTAATACGCACACTCTCCATGTTAACCCTAATTGTGTATGCAAATTCACGTGTATCTGTAGGAGTGGTTACATTGGGAAAACAGAAAGGAGAGCATATCCCAGACCCTCGGAACATGTACAAAAAAGTTCACGTCTCAAGGAATCAAATACTTTAAATAGTACTATTGCCTGACGTCCTGCTGATATGGGTTATGAGGTGGCAAAATGAAATCCTTCCAGTTTATTAATAGACAGTATCACTCATCTCTCTTCGAATTTGCCGAAGCAGTCGCTATCAAACATTTAGAACGAGACTTAAGTGTTCAGAAAGATTTAACTAATTTTATTTATTTAATTTCTTTGTACTGGTCACCCAGCATCTAATTTCTTCTTCTAAACTGATTACATAATCTTTTGCTTTCACCCCACTCCCATTTTTTGCTTTGTTGGGATTCAGTTCTATTTTGTTCCAATGAATTGAATTAAACACACTTTTGCTCATCACCAGCATCTCCACTCTTGTCTTGACTGTGAAAGTTAGTTTTTAATGTATCCGATCAATAATTTCGCATATCTGTATTCTTTTTGAACAATGACCTCCTTCACAAGTTTTATAAGTGGAACTTCTGAACATTGTTTATTGACATGTGTCTCTGTTAACAAAAATCCTTTTGAGCCCCGCAAGTATGACAAAGTTCCATATGCATTTACACAATCAAATTATAGGCTTCTGGCAGCCGAAGAGAATTCGACCGAATAAATGATAGCCTCAAATCATTTTGCGCAAACATTTGTTTCTACTTTGTTTAAATTAACATTAGATTACTGAAACTATTAAAAGTTTCATTTTATGCAAGAGAAAATATAAAGTAATATTAATTGTGATTAAAGCATTTATGACCTTTAAAAGACCTTAAGAAGATGTACAGCACTCATTAATATAGCTGTGATATAATACATTCTCAGTCTCTTTTCAACCCTGTATTGGGTTTCACGTCATGACATTTATTTGATAGCTGAAGAAATCAAACTTACTCCGAACTCAGTAGGCGTCCTCTGTAAGTGATATACGTTTTCTCTTCTATATGAATGCGAAGTTTGACGACATTCTGAATGAACGGTGCTGCAGTCGTTCATGGGCAGTTGAGTGTACATAGTGACTAACTAAGAAATAATTTAAAGCCAGCATAAATGTTTCGACAGAATCCTTTGAACTAACGGTGTGAATTCCATCAAAAGCACTCCGCGTTAGTGAACGACCTAAAATAAAAAAGTAAATTTTTCATTCAGCACAGCAGTCACAATTTACGAAATCATAAATAAAATTCATATTCAAAATCACAGTTGCTACTGGATAGTAATGACAGAATATTAAATCGCTACTTCACACTATCAGAAATTTTTTGATTCAGAATTTAGTGAGATTAAAATGACGAGACATTTTTGGGGTAGGCTGAGTTAATGAACTTGAGTGCACTTTTCCTAGATAAAAGATTTCCGAGAAACTAAAAGAGATGATGCCGACATGTGCGAATCTGGAATTTAAATAGCGCTTTCAAATTTAGACAGAGGCCCAGTTTCGAATGAAAAATTGTTGTTAACTAAAAATTTAAGTCTTCATACATATTTATGACGTCTCAACATATATCACAAAATTATACGAAAGAATGAAGTAATAACTGGTTTAAGCTTACGAAGAATCTGACAAAACATGATTATGTTATGGTTGTCACACTATCACTTGCCAAAATACAAATAATAGATATAATATTGGAGACCCCAAGGGACCACCCTAGTGCTCATTCTTAGAAAACCACTCGTCTTTATTTGCTGGGCGAGATACAAGAAGAGCGAGTGTTTAATTGTTTTGTGACTATTTTATTAAATAGAGCTATTGAAACATGCACATTCTGATGTAGCTTGTTAATACAACAAGTTTTCAGGAGGATTTTGATTTTATGATAGGCTGAAAAACAGAATCGGGAGCATAAAATCATCTCAGAACGCAACGATCTTTAGACTATTGTTATAAATTTCTGAATTTTATTGCCCTGAATGCTGATTAAGGTGTTAAGATGTTTCAGCACATCTGACACAGTTTAAATTATCCCTAAAGACTCCATATTATCTCATATTGCATAGCATAATAATCCTACTTCTACGACAACATATGACATCGTTTCAATTCGTTGGGTTTCAATTTCAATATCCAATATCATTTTTCCGAGCTGGTAAAAAAACCTATTAGATTTCTTTGTTTTCGCTTTTGATTGTGAGGTGAAGGTTCCTGGTCTTCGGTAAACTTCTGCATAGTTCGTCCCACCACCTGACTGTCGTAATTCTGGTTGGCTCTAAAAGCAATGATGATCGGATTAAATGTTGTTTGTAGTATGCGGTGTGTTGAGACTTCGCTACTACTATGAATGAAACTCATCCCCCCACCATTTAATTCTCTGGTTTTATCGTCAAAAGAAAGGAGGTAATAATAATGATAAAATACATATACAAATATATATGTATATAATATCAATAGAAATAATAATTATAATTATAATAAGTGTAGCCAGGAGAGTAAGACAGGATTTTTGATTTACAGCTTGATTCCACACCGTATTTTCAGTACAAGTATGGAATTTTCAGCATGGATATCGGTTGCCCAAATTCAGGCATACCATAGATATCGGGTGTGCGCCGGCAGGGAATCGAACCCCGGACCATGTGCATGGTCGGCGAGAGTCCTAACCACTGTGCCACCGACGCAGAACGACGAGTTTAGATGTCTACCCATAAATGGTGTGTGGGATTTCAAGAAGACGGGCCATTTTGACGCAGTTCTTGTGTCACTGCATGATTGTCCAGCCTTCTTTTAAAGGTGTCCACAGACGGTGAGGTAGCCACATCTGCCAGTAAGGAGTTCCAGGGATGGTGTACTCTAGTGAAAAGAATTAGAAGCACATCCGAGTCTTTGCCGTCTGGTGAGCTATCCTTCTGGGACCTCCATGAGGAAGCCCATAGCAACTCAATGGCAGAACAACTTTGTTTGGGTGATTCTTGTTATTTATCTTGTAGGCAGTAATCATATCTCTCCTAAGCTGATGGTAGCTAAGTGTAAATATGCTTAATTTCTTTAGCCTTTCATCATACGGTTTATTTTGGAGACCAACCACTCGTCTTTGAACTCTTTCCAAGAGGTTGGCGTCTCTTCTAAGCAGTGGAGGTGCAGTGATATTATGTACTTCAAGGTGTGGTCTGACGTGTGTTTTTTACGACCCCAGAAAGAGCTCAACAGTGAGTGCACCTAATTGTTTACTTGTAAAGTGTGTGACCACGTATGTCCTCGCTACATCCGCCGTGAAATTTATGCTTGTGTCAATTTTTTCCATTAGAACTAGACCTAAGTTGCACCCTGATGTGCAGGACAAGCTTTCGTTGGACAGGGTGTAACCTGCATAGTGCAGCCTACATGTGAGTAATTTCACCACTTTTCAATTTTTCGGGTTGAAAGTCATACCACTAGCCCCCGCCCAGTCTTTGGATCTGCATGCAGTCTATCTGAGTCTTTCGAACATTTTATTGCTCTCCATATATTTACATAGCGTATAGAAGTAGCGGGCAGCTTAGATGGTATGATAGGTCGTTGATAAAAGTGGAAAACATCAATGGTCCTCGGATAGAGTCCTGAGACACTCCCGATGATGAGCTGTGCTAAGATGATCAGACTCGATTGACCGTAGTGCAGAATTTCCTTCCATCTGCGCTGACCTTCAACCATGACAGAAGCGGCCCAACTACACCTGCATGACTTATTTTATGTAACAGAAGGTCATATGCTTCCTCAATGTCTAGGAATATCACATGGACTGGACCAATGGTGTCTCAGCATTATGCCCAACCGTCCCAAGCTGATAGTAGGTCTGTTACACAGGACCTGCCTTTCCTGAAAATATGTTGGGCTTCATGGAGTCTGTTAGTCCTATCGAGGTGCTCCCGGATGTGATCATCAATAACATTTTTCAATACATTAGATACCACTGGGAGTATCGCTACTGGTCAGCAACTAGTGGCATTTTACCTATCCCCACCATTGAAAATAGGAGAAACGAAGGCTGTTTTCCACTCCCTTGGTAGTTTTCCCGAGCCCATCTAGTTTCGGAACAAGTCGCATAAGGGTCTACAGAGAGCTTCGGCGCACTGTTTCAGGACAGATGGCCTGATGTCATCACAACATGGGGACCTTCCAGATGTGAGTCTCTGTAACTTCCCTAGTATTATTGCCAGGTTTATTTGGGGAGAAGCCACTAGCTTTTCCTCCGGCTAAGCAGTAATGTGGTGACAGCTGACTGCAAGCTGAAATTGTAGACATCAGTTTACTTCAATGTTACGTCCCGAATCAGTGCCATGAGAAAAACAATAACAAAGCTTAACCGTGAGGGACTCACCAACCAATCACGTCAGACTTAACGTATGCAAATAGGGCTCGCAGATATATGGATTAACTTTCTGAGAAACGGTCACAAGCAGTACAGAACAGAACAACCAGTCAGAAGACGTTGCTTCTCTGCTGACAATAACGTATGTAAAAATCTATAAATATCTCTTGATTTTCTCAACAAACT